CCCTGCTCAGGCTCTATGCCAGGGCCATTCCTTCCCACCAGGACTCCCCTATTGCTCATCTGGGAGGTCTTAACCGTTCTCATGGTCACCATCACTCCCCTCTGCCAATTTTACATGAGATCTTACATTTGAATGTCCAAAGTCTTTACAAATTTCAGTCCAGTCTCATTTCCCAGACCCTAAATGGGAAAGCTTTTATAGGCTGAGACAGTGGTAGAGGGGAACTGGGGCCTTCTCAGAAGGATCTGTCTTTGCAAGTGGATTGAAAAGAGAGCTTGGACTTCCCAAGATGACAAAGGCATCCTGAGCTCCATAGAAAGCTCTTTTCCTCTGGTGCAGAAAGGACCATCCATCTCCTGCTTCATGCTGGGAAGAGGAAGGACCTTGTGAAGGACAAAGCTTCATTAATACCTTTTCCTGTCTGAGATAGGGAGTAGGGTTCAGATGCACCCACAGGGTTTTTCTCGCCATAATGGCATGGCTTGCACAAGGAGGAAGAATGGGATTTCTATCGCCCTGAGAGGCAAGACTCAACCCTCTTCACCCAAGTAGACAGCCCATAGGTGAAAGAATGTGGTCTGTTGGCACTGCCAGCAGTTTGGTACCCAAGATATGACACTGAAAAGTGTCAGCCTTAAAACAAAGAGGGTCATGGAGCTGTCTGTCTGCTGTGATATCCAGTTTCTGAAATAGTTGTGGGCATGTTGTCCTGATGTTCCTGCTTACAGCTTGTAGCAAGCTGGGGGAAGTGGAGAGTGGCCCTCAGACAAAGGGATTGCTCTCTTGCTTGACAAGCTCTTAGTGCCTGGAGAGATGATTTATAGCACACATCCCAGTCCTCGGGTGGTACCCATGCCTGCAGGACACCATACCTCGTGCCTTCCCATGCCTGGAACCAGGCATTGTTTTAAGCTTGTGTAAAAGGAGGGAGAAGCACAATGAGTAGGACAGAGGGGAAAGGCAGGCACTTTACAGGAGGGAAACAGACTGGGTGGAACAGAACTTGGCATTCTTTGTCCTACAGATTCCATGCAGTTCCTGTCCTGATGCCCCATTTTGGAAAAGAGGCTGGTGCAGTGGTGAGATATATGAGCAGTAAAGATTTTGCTGATGAAGATAAAGATCAAGTTCTATATATAGAACTATATAAAATATAGTTAGAACTATATATCTATAATAAAGCCTTGCCCCAAACCTTATAGCTCCCACAAACAAGACCAACTTTTTGGAAGATGTCCTCATGCTTCAACCAACCTGGTTCTCTGTCAGTGGTCATAATGGGCCACTATGATAACTAATTTATGCTCTTTTTTTATGCTTTCTTATCCTTTTCACAAGGCAACAGGTTAGAATAAGCAACTTTCACAGTCTTTCACACAGAGGTTCTATTTCCACTATTACAGTGGAGAAATGAAAAACAGGGCCAGAGGAGGAGCCAAGCTTAAGAAATAGTCTGCTTAGTGAACCTTTTTCAGTGTCAGGTTTTTTTTCTCTTTGACAAATGCCCTTCCCTAGCAGTAGTTGAAGAATTTGTGGTTTTTAACATGCTACCTTGGGGATAGGCAAAAATCTCAGTCGCACTGAACAAGCACCTCTGACCTTGCCCCTTCTGCTTTCTGCTGCAGTTGTCACATCAAGAGCATTTTCATTTTAACTCTAGTGTGACAGCTACCGTGATGCTACTCACATTGCTGCCTCTGGCCAGGCAGCAACCTGCCAGGCAGCAGCCCTGCAGCTTTTGGGCAGCTGTATTTAGTGTCCTCATCCCTGGGGGAAGATGGGCCATGAGTGCCAGAAAGCATGTGGTACCCAACCCTGGGGCCAAGTACATAACAGTGAGCCAACATAGGTAGGTGGGTCTAACATCATCATGGTGAATAAGAGGTTAAGAAAGATGTGTACTCACCACATAGGATAGATAATGTCAGGTGGGTTTATTTATAAGCAAGGAAGCTCCACTCACAAATGCTGTAGCTCAAGGTTGCATCTATTCAATGTTCTGTGTTATACCAGGCAAATAATAATTTTATTATTTATTTTAAAAATAAAAAACCAAACCACTTATTATAAAAAACAAAAACCAAAACAAAAAACAGATATTGATAGTCTAGCTTGGAGGATGAGGAAATGTTGGGGGTTTTCAGGCCTTGATTTCTAAGTGAAGTGGCATGACTTCTGGAGTTTTAAAACTCGTTCCTCCTTTTCCACTGAAATAACTTGGTTTGCATTGCACTCAGTAAGAACAGCATTCAGAGGCTGTCTTCCATTAGGAGCAGCTGTGCTGTTCCCTTCTGGGAACTGTATTAGTTTGATCACTGGTCTGAAGGCATGCAGTGGGTCAGGAAGGAGCATCATTCTCTGTCTGTGTTCTGGGTTTGTATGGCCAAGCTATCATAGTGGGGGGATGCCTGAGAAGAGGCTGTGACTTTTTGGGAGGCCCGTGGAGAGAGGAGCCCAGGCTGGAGCAGCCTGTCCTTGAAGGACCATGGAAGAGTGACCCACACTGCAGCAGTTTGGGGAGGACTGTTGCCCATGGGATGGACCCATGCTGGAGAAGTTCATGGAGAACTGTCTCCCATGTAGGGACCCCATGCTGGAGCAGGGGAAGGACTCCTCTCCCTGAGCTGCAGGAGGAACAACCACTGATGATAACACCCATTCCTGTCTCCCCACACTGCTGGGGGAGGAGCTAGAGCTGGGAAGGAGAGAGGGGTGTGGATAAGGAGTTTTTAAGGTCTTGTTTTGCTTCTCATTATCCTGCTCTGGTTTTGTTAGTAATACATTCAATTGATATCTCTAGTTCTAGACTGTTTTGCCCATGACACTATTTGGTGAGTGGTCTATCCTGATCCTTATCTCAGCTCATGAACTCTTCATTATATTTTCTCTTCCCAGTCCAGCTGTGGAGTGGAGTGAGAGAGGGAGGCTTTGGTGGGTGCCTGGCATCCAGCCAGGGTCAACCCACTACAGTCTAAGAGAAGAAAGTGATAATAAAGTAGCCTGAAACAATTGCTCTCCTCGCTGGACTTCACATGTCCCAAAGTAATCTGTATAGCTCATTAGTTTGAATGCAGGGACAGTCCCTAGTTACAATAATGTTTTCTGTCTTCTGGAAGAGCAGCATTGTCCAGATCCATGCTGTTTGCACATCTGCTGTGCTCCATCTAGTCAAGCTCCTAAGAGCACCCCGAAGTACTTTCCAGTGTTTTCTTTAGCCACAGTTGGAAACTCCACATCCTTTTTTGTGTCGCAGTAACTCTTAAAGTAACTCTTAAAGTCACTGTAACTTATAATTCCTACAACTTTCCTAGGAAAAGCCAAGAAGTGTTTCATTTCTGTCCCCAGTTTATATGGACAGTAGATTTTTATTGCACTGAGCATTAGAGTGGTCATATCCTGTGGCATCCTGAGATTATTGAAGGTTTCATTAATAAAGCTGGACGGTGGGAGGTTATTTGATTTTTGGTCTTCTTAGGGAATAAAAAGCCAATGGAAAAGCCATCTTTTGGGAACTGGATGTTTTCTTCTTGGCCAAATCATAGTTCTTAAAACATCATGAGCACAAGCTGATTTTTCATATAATTCTATAACAATAGAATAGTCTGGGTTGGAAGGGACCTCTTAAAGGTTATCTAGTCCAATTCTACAATAAGCAGGGATATCTCAAGTTACTCAGAACCCTGTCCAGCCTGAACCTGAATGTTCCCAGGGATGGGGTATCCATGAACACTCTGGGCAACCTGCTCCAGTGTTTTACCAGCCTCATTGTAAAAACCCTTTTTTCTTATACCTAATCCTAATGTAGTCTCCCTCAGTTTAAAACCTTTTCCCCTTGTCCTATCCCAACAGGCTACCAAGCCCCCTTCAAGTACTGAAAGGCCACAATAAGGTTTTCCCAGAACTTTCTCTTCTCCAGACTGAACAATCCTGATTTTCTCAGCTATTTCTCATTTCACGGCCCTCCTCTGGACTCGCTCCAAGAGTTCCATGTCATTCCTGTGCTGGCCCCCAGAGTTGGATGCAGCCCTGCAGGCGGGGTCTCAGCAGAGCAGAGGGGCAGAATCCCCTCCCTCCCCTGCTGCCCACACTGCTCTGGATGCAGCCCAGGTCAGGTTTGGCTCTCTGGGCTGGGAGTGCCCATGGCTGGGTCAGGTCCAGCCGCTCCTCCACCAACACCCCGAAGTCCTTGTCAGCAGACCTATCACTGTGTTCATCCCCCAGGCCAGACTGATACCAGGTGTTACCCCAGCCCAGGTAGAATAGCTGTACCCAACAAAAGAATATTGCTGAGTGTTTTATTTTACAGATTTAAGGATTTTAGGATAAACTTTTACGGGGTCTGGAAGCATACTGCAAGCAGAATGTAATTTATTATTTATTAAGAGTTGAAACTCCTGGGTATTCATTAGGAGAGAGAGGAGTTGTACAGACTGCTCAGATATTCTCTCTGTGGTGCTAGAAGTGCAGATATGACAGACTCCTGCTATCAAAAGAGAAACTAAAACTTGCAGGATAAGATAAGTCTATAGAACAGGTTTGTAAACATAAATAGGCCGTTTAAGAGGTAAAATGTATACCTGAAGCACTGCTATTTTTATAAGCCTGACTAGTAATTCAATTGATTTAGAAATAAAAGTCTTTGAAACTTTGTTTTTAAATTAGCAGTTCATGTCAAAACTAACAGAAGTTCTTTGGCAAATCCTAGGTGCTTTAGCCCTTGCTGGATGTATGAATTCTGGTCAGGAACATGAGGATTACTTGCTTTAGTTTCGTAACTGGGGTTTACTGCAAGGGAAGGGAAAGGAGAAAGGAGAAAAGAAAAGAAGGGCATGTTCCTGGATTAAACTGTGATGAAAAAACCTGGCTTGACTCACTGTCCAGGGACATAAAAATTACTGCAATTTCAGAGAGCAATGTCTCTTTCATGTCCTTTTTTCTACCTTTTTGTTAAACAAAGGGAAGTGAAGCGCTGTTTATGTTTTTCCTCCCCCTTCTGTGTCCTCGGGGTTTTTCTTCCAGCACACAGTTCATTATCAGGTTTCAGAGTGTGCTTTGCAGCACTGAGTAAAGCACTGGATAAAAATACCAAACATTTGATATCTTAGAACAACAAATCAGTTGGGAAGGAGCTTTTCTGCTGCTGTTGCTTCCATCCATGTTGTACTTAAGGATGTACTGCCAAAATAAAAGCAAAGAATGCAGTTTGATAGTGGTTATGCATATACAAATAGATGAGTTACCAGCAACAGTTATTTTCACAGCCTTTAATGTGTAAGGGAAGTGAAGCACAGCAGAAGTCCTCACCCCAAAACACGAGGTAATGCATCTGATTCAAAGACAAAGATATGAAAAAAGGTGCAGATTCTTTTTCAAAACACAAATTTATAAAACTAATACTGAGAACACAACATGGTTTTTTTCTTGTAGTAACCTGAAAACAGCAAGGCCAGAAAGTTTGGGGGTTTGTGGTGTCTAACAGACCAGTAATGTTGTTTTGTAGTCTAATGAAAAAGTAAAGTATCTTTGGAAATGTTCTGGCTGGATAGTGAGGAGCACCCAAATATTTACTCAGTGTGTTCTGGTCTGTTGTGAGCCTCTGTAACCTAACAACATCAGTTTAGAGTCAATAATATAAGAGAACCTTAACTCTAGGCATAATCTGATGTCTACAGAGGCTTGTTATTAGTCTGTTATCATAATTTTGAAGACCTAACCATGGTCTACTTTAGGAGCCATTCAAAGTGTTCGCTCCTAGTTAAAAGCATCTAACACCAAAAATGTGGTGGTTGGATGCAGCATACAAGAAACCAGTGCTGAAGGGTTGGTCTGCAGGTTAGGGAGTACTGCAAATCAGTAATCTAACATTTCTTTTTGCAATTATCCCTGCAAAAGGGAGCATTAAGGAGAGGCCTTAATTAAGTCAGAGTATGAGAGTTTTCTGGAGAGGTTCCTCCATGCACAGCAGGCAGCAAAAGAAGCTCTGCTTCTCCTTTGTCCTTTCCCTTCCTTTGCAGTAAAACCCGTATATGAAGCTGAACCAAGTACCCCTCGTGTTGGAAAACGGGAGTGCTGCAGTAAGCTAAGCAGAACCATGCTGTGAACCACAACATGGATAATTGAGAGCCTAAATATAAATACAATAAGTGCGGGGACCATGCCAAGGGTAGTTAGAGTGACAGGATAGGAATATGATCCTTGCCCAGACACTGCAAATGGATATCAGTAGGAGGAAATTACCCTGGCAAGATAAGAGGAAAAGGGTTTTTGTAATCCTAACTTGAGATGAGAATCTAGATGGGAACAGTCAGGAAAGGCTGAATTTTGCAGATGTTTCTTTCTAAGCATCCTTAATAATTAAACACATACAGGACACGAGGATACAGACTAAAGACTAAATCCAAGGTTACAGCCAACTAACCAGCCTAAATGCTATGTAGTGTAAGGATTTTATTCCTTGTAATGGCTTAACCCCAGCCAGTAACTTAAATACGACACAGACGCTTGCTCACTCCCACTGCCCACCCCCAGGCCCCCCAAAGGTGGGATGGGGAGGAGAACCAGAAAAAAACCTTTTCTTCTTATCTTGACAGGGTAATATCCTCCTGCTGATATCCAAGAGGTTGAGATAATAACAGTTTAATAACTGAAATAAAGTAAAATATAATAATAATTTTATTGGAAATGAAAAAGAGAAGCATATAAGCCAAGAAAAACAAATGATGCACAGTACAGTTTCTCCCAGTTTCACCTCCTCACTGGCAGAGCATGAGAAACTAAAAAGTCCTTGACATAGGATAAACTCTACTTATCAACAACTAAAACATCAGTTTTTTACCAACATTATTCTCAAACTAAATCCAAAACACAGCATTGTACCAGCTACTGGGAAGAGAGTTAACTCTATCTCAGCCAAAACCAGTCATTTCTACAAGTCAAAGTGTAGAATGGACAAATTAATCTGTGTTGAAGAAGGTGATTGAATTATTCCTCACAAATAAGTTTACAAGAAATATGAGGTTTTGGGTTCTGGAGGTGGGACAAGCAAGCTCTTCCAAAGGACACCCTGCAAAAAGAAAGTGGAGGATTCCCAGGGAAGGACAGTGTCATAGAAGCTAGGAAGAGGGTAAGCTAACAGAAGGTGCAACATCGTGGTGTTGGTTTCTAGATTCAGTCATGGAGCTGGTTCTCCTGCAGAGCTGCTTGGCAGGAGAATGAATTCTGCAGATATTTTTCATCAGGGGACTGGGGCAGGACAAGCACAAAGTGTGCAGACTTCCTCTGAAACACCTCTAGATGCCTGCAGTGCCAGTCTTACCCTAGTACTGTTAAAAAGAAAGTACTGGGAAAGAGAAAAATTCTCTAAACTAAAGCTGAGGATGACTTGCAGTTAATGTTTGGTGAAATGCACATCAGCAGAGGAATCAAGGGGTTACATAGAAAAGAGAAGGTACCAAAGGGTCTGGCTTTACTCTCAGAGTCTAGCAAGATGAGTCACCATCCCTGGAAATATTTAGAAGTCTGTAGATGTGGTGCTTAGGGACATGGTTCAGTGGTGGACTTGGCAGTGTTAGGTTAACAATTGGACTCAGTGATCTTAAGGGTCTTTTCCAACCTAAATGTTTCTACGATTCTCTGAAGGTAATACAACTTCTTACTATTTTCTTTTGAGAGAGAGAAAGGGCTATGGTTCTTTAGTGGAGATGTTTTACTTGGCGTTTGACTTGTCTTGTGAACAGCTTTGTTCTGTTTCGGTTTGGGAACAGTCAAGTATGATGGAAACTGTACTAACCAGCACAGATGGAGGGATTGCAGGTCAGCAGCAGTAAGCTTCTGGCCTGACACTGAAGGCAATGCTGCTGGACAACCGTGGTAGCCAAGAGTAGCAGAGTTTGTCTTGAAGTCCCTGCAGTATGACCTCACAGAATGCTTTCAGAAAGGCCCACACTCAGTGTGAGGGTTTCAGAAATTCATCTTAATTTCTAGGATTTTGAATTTTCCGTTCTTTGCAATGCATTTGTTTTCCTTAAGCACATCACATATTGTGTTTCACGGTTCCTTCTGTCAGAGAGGGAAAGCACCAAATCCTGCCCATTGTGAGTAAGCCAAGAGGGTAACCATGGGAGCAGTGTTCTGTTCATCACTGCATCCTAAAACCCTTTACTGAGAAAGAAAATAATCCAGGTTACCTTGCAGTAGGTGAGGAGCTGAAACATCAGTGTGATTGTGTTTCACTTGTCTTTAACAAAAGAAATCAGTATGATTGAGCAAACCACCTGTGTTGCAGATACAGTTATACTTGGTTAATGTTTCTGCAATTTACTTTTTGTCTGCCCTTCACAGGCATGAATAACCGTGAAGTCTTGGAGCAAGTAGAAAGAGGTTATCGGATGCCATGTCCTCAGGACTGTCCCATCTCCTTGCATGAGCTTATGATTCACTGCTGGAAAAAAGACCCAGAGGAGCGTCCAACTTTTGAATATTTACAGGGTTTTCTTGAAGACTACTTCACTGCAACAGAACCCCAGTACCAGCCTGGCGACAACCTGTAAATCCCTGGTTTCCAGACACTGTCATGAATTACCAGGTGTTTCTCAGCCCTGCCCCACCTGCTCTCCACCTTCCAACTCTGTGATCGGCTTCTCCAGAGTGCAACATCTTCCAGCACTGCAGTGCACAGGAGGGGCTGAAGCTGGGAACTTCCACAGCCCTTGCCTATGACCACTTGTCCTAACAATCTGAATGTCCTGGATGAAAAGGAGAAAAACACTTGTTTTTTCTTAATCAAAGACTCCAAAACTGCATTGTATTGATGTTATGTAAACTGCAAAACCTCTGTTCATTGTAAATAGTAACTCAGTGCCAATAACTGATCCTAGTGCTTTCCTTTTTTTAAAATGCAAAACCTATGTGATTTTAACTAGTCTTCTCCTGATTCAACTAAAAGTATTATTTTCCAGAAGTGGCCTCTTTGTCTAAAACTTTTTTTTTTTTTTTATGTTTTAACAAATAAAAAAATCAGGACAGGTGTTTGGGTTTTTGCTTTTTTATATATAAAATATATATAATATATATACATACCTGTACATACAGTATATGGGTGCTGTTGCAGAGGAGGCTCATTTGGAACTGAATGACTCCTGCTGCAGCTGTACCCAGAAAGCGATAATTTTACTGCAGACATGAAAACACTGGTGGGATTCTGAAAGCCAGTGATCTAATTTTTGGCTTTTGCCAAGCATGATTTTTTTAAATTGGATTGCACTTTTTGTTTATGATTATGTACCTGTAGATGGTTGTAACTTTGCTCTTTCAGGAATCACGTGCTGTATTTACAGTAATGTTTCCAATGTTTGACAAGTGTGTGATGATTTGTTCTTGAAATTAAAACGAACATATTTAAAGCAAGAAAACTACACCATCACCGTTTGAACTGGAAAATTGAAACTGCAAGGACTTCTTGTATCAAAACATGTATACTGAAACGTTTCAAAAAGATTTATTAAGCAGTGTAACCACATTCAGATGGTCTTAAAATAATAGCATTTTAGCCATGTCCCCCCGCTAAACTATTGGTCATGCAACTAGGATTTTTCTGTTTTATGTGTAACATTTTTCCATTGTAAAATAAGTGTGTTAAGTGTCCTGTACTGCTAATGAAATTACTTTCTCTGTGTCTGCAAGTTCTCCAGTGGAATTACTATGCACTTCTTTACATTTCATGGGGGATGCACAGAACAAAGTATTATCTTTTCAGTTGTCTGTACCAGCCTTGAATTACTTACGTTTAACCAAAAAACACAAAAAAAAATTCCTTTCTATTTCTATTGAGTTTTTAATACTGAGTTGCAAATTTTAAAGTCTTAATTACATTTTGTTATGGTTTATTCACAAGTTTACATTTTAAAACTGTTTAACTTTCTTAATTTAGTAATTAAAAAAAAAGAGCATTTTACATTTGGATAGTTGTTTTTTTGTTTAAACTGTGGAGCTAATGGTGGACATGAGATTAAAAACTTTTCAAGAAGGGGTGTCATGCCATTTGGGGCATCATATTTCATAGGAGTACGCAGACCAGTTACCTATGGGACATCATTTTCCAAATTACGAGGTCAATATGTTTTTAAATAGCTGGAGTTCAACTGTAAGGAAGAAGGCTGAATGCATAGCTAGTCTCTCATTTCTCTCTTCTACAGCACTTTGTTCTTTATTAGTTCTGTTGCATTTAACATGAATACTTTTACATTTACAAGTAAATGTACAATTTGCAGGAAAAGCTTTTCTATGTCTTGTATTGCTGTTACCGCTTTAAAAGATTGCAGCCAACTAAGACTTCCTGACAGTTGAAACTTTTATTTTAATTATTTAGTACTTAGATTGTGAATTCATAATCTGAAGATTCACACATTTTCTAAAGAGAACCTTTCTTCGTTTGTGAAAACTAACCCAATAATTAATTGAGATTCACAGAACAAATTGTCATCGTTTTAATATTTTCTATACAAAACTTTGACTGAAAATCCTCTTGCAAAGGAGGCTTCCACACTTAGCCTTTCTCAAAGTGTGAATTTATATGGCAATGTTGCTTGTTACCAGATTTCCAAGATAAATTGGTTAACGTTTTACATGTAGAGTCTATAAGTAATGTTATGTACATTATATATTCAATGTTGCTGTACCTGTAGCTGTGGAGTACTGAAGAGGCCATGATCCTTGTTGGACTTCTAGCTTCCTCTTAGTACTTACAAAGCAAGTCATGGCCCTCTTTTTTTTCCCACAGCTACCCCCCTGCCTTAAAATATCATCCATGGAACTGAGGACTCGATAGTAACTCAGCGGGCTGGCGAAGCCAAAATGTCACCTCCTCAGCCCAGAGCCCGGTGGCGAGGCACGGCCATTCTGCCAAGTTCCTTAGCAGCCTTTGCTATGCCACAAACTTAAGTGCAGTTTCCATCTGTGCTGCGGGACGAGCCTAAAACGTTAGTTTGCCTGTGTTTCTGATTGGAAGTAAGACTCAGATGGGGCGTTGTTGGGGTTTTATGGCCTTTATTTCTGATTCTTGGGTTTGCTGTTTCTTGTATTGCATTCGGTCTCCGAGTACCATGTTGGTCTCTGCCGGATCTCTGCCTGCAGCTGGCTTGTGTGCAGACTGGTGCCACTGTTGAGTGGCAAATCCAGACCATTTCTCATCGGTAGCTCTTCTGCTTCTTTTTCTTAATGTTGGGAGTTTTGTTGTTTGGGTTTTTTAATCTCTCAAATAAAAACATTAGCAAAAAATTTAAACAAGGTTGTTAGGTTTTTTTGCTATAAATTAATAAAAGCCTTTTCTTAAGCACTGTGTACACACCACAAGTAGCTGTGTGGTGACTGTAAAAGTAGAATTTATGAGATTAAGGATCTCCTTTTCCTTCCAATATTTTTTTAATGTAAGACTAAGTACATTCCACCCAGATAAAAACAATTGGCCTAATTCTCCCCCCACCAGCCCACCTGATTCCCAACCGATCCATGGTGTGGTGGCTGAGTTCCAGAAGAGGTGTTCTGGTAGACCTACCAGCAGCAGAAAGGACTCAGTGGGGTGACACAGGCATCTCTAAGCCAAGTTTAATCCAAAACCAGTCTCAGGAAAAGTGGCAGCTGGAAATGGTACACTGCTGCAAAAGGGATGGTTAGTATGGTTACTCTATTTCTGTGAGAAAATTATGTGAGACAATTATGTGAGACTTGGTGGTCTTTGAAAAAGACAGAAGTTTGTCAAAGGCACTAACATGATATTCTTTGGCTTTTGTGAACAGTGCTCAGTGTAGCTCTGGGTGACAATCTGGTTTTGATTTAATTACCACTGTAGAAAAACAAAGTAAACACGGAACAGGAGAGTGATTAACTGCTGAAATTACAAGAATAATCACAAATGGAAAATTTGTCTCCAGTGTGAGTCTTTCTCCTGAAGCCTCTAGACTGGAAAGGACTACCTGCAGCCCAAGAAGGCAGATTGCTAAATATCTCAATCTTGCCACATAACTTCAAGGTGAGTGGAAAGCTCCTCAAATTTATTTTAACGTGCAACATCCTTTTCTCAAGTGCTGCAATAAAAAATGCAGCACGCTAATGAATGCTACCATATTGTACCCAAGGGGTTTAAGGGCCTCACGCGAGGCTGAGCCCAGGCATGCAAGAGCTATTAGGAGATATACAGTAGCTCCTCTTCTAAAGTGTAGACAATATTCATTCATCAAAGAAGCCTTTTCCTGTCTAATGGGAAATTACCACCAGCAGTGCAGACAAAAGGATATTTATTTTCTCCAGTTGTGTCAGTTTGAGGGTCTGTCTGTCTTTCAAGAATAATTGAAGTCTGTTTGTAGCTCAGAAATCTCATTGTGTTCTGCAGTCTTGGAAAGCAGTGATTATAATTTCCTGTGACTCATACACAGGGATATTTTATCACTGAGGGGACTCCTGTCAACTGGAGCAGCATTTTCTGCCATCTTAACTGAAGAAAGGGGCACTTCATTTTCAGACTTTCCTGCACAGACCAAACCAGAACCCGTGTCCTTTCTGCAGAAAAGGGGCCCCTTGCTGGGATTGCCACATGAGTAGAGTGCTAGTGTCTCCCTCTCAGTGCTGCTAAATTTCTCAGGAGAACTTCTGACAGCTGAAATCAGGCTGCTGAGGTTCATTTTGAATGTTAGAGAGGAAATGCTGGCTTCCTTTAAGTCTGAGATATTTTCTGTTGACTTTTAATACAGAGCCTACTCTTATGTGTGTGTGCGTGTGTAAAATTATCTGTAACTCAAAAGGCAACTCACACATAAGACATCTACACAAACATCAATCTATCTCCTTGTATTCCTCCCCTGTAGCTGAATGCTTAGCAAAAATGTAAAACTGGGACATGAGTAGATTAGAGGACAAAATGATGTTAACAACAAAAGAGCTGCTCTTTTTTTTTTCTTGTTTTCCTTTTTTATTTTTTTTCCCCTGCTGGTTCCCACTACATGATCTGTTACAATCCCTATTCCCAAACCAGCAGAGGTGGTAGCAGCAAGCTGGTGCTACAGCCCAGAGATGCTGTGGGTCTCTGGCTACTGCAAAGAGCAGCCTGCAGTTGATTTTAAAGTTGGGGAGAGAAAACGTTTCTCCCAAGGGCATGGCTGCAGTTTGGAGCCTGCGGCGGAAGCGTGCAGGAGTGCTGAGAGAACTGCCCTCCCAGGAAAAGCAGGTCATTAGCTGGTAGGCGCTGCATGGTGTGGTGGAGAGGCAGAGCCAAAGGTTGCAGCAGCAGCTGTGTTTGCAGCACCAGCTGTGCTCACAGCGCCTGTGCTTCCTTGTGCCCAGGGATTTGGGTGATGAGATTAGAGCAGGCTGAGGAGCGTGAACTGCGGTTTCTGCTTGCAAATGTAAATATCTTCTCTGCTACAGCGTCGAGGAAAATAGTGTATGTTCAAGATGGGAAAAAAATCACAGGACTGGTGTGGCCTGTGACTGCGAGGCAAGTGTTGGTTCTGCCTGACCAGGCCAGATGGAAGTTTGATTGTTTGGCTCATTGTTGGGAATAACTCGGCATTTAAGCTCTGTGAATAGCTAAAAGGGCAGAGAGTAAAGAAATGAGATTATCCTTCTCCCCCTACAGCCAAGCTAGAGCTTGCCAAGGGCTCTGGTTTGCTTTTTTGTGCATCAGCATTTGTTGCTGAGCTCCTGCACCCAGAGCCTTGTGAAGTTTGTCCAGCTACCTATTGTCACAGCTTCACACAAAATTCCTGAGCCCTGTAATGGATGAATTCAAATCTGGAAAAAGAAAAAAAGAATTCAGGGCTGCTTTGTGACTCTTTGGGCTCAGCCTCATGACAGAGGCCTGTCTGTGAGCCCTGGAATTCCCTGTGCTTTATTCGCTGCTGCACTTCAGGTTCTGGGCTGCCTGTCAATCCCACAGGCTGCTGGATTTCCCCAGCTAGAAGATGCTACTCATATAGGAAGGGTCCCTGGTGTTGGGAAAAGGCTGCAGGGGTCCCAGCAGAGCCCTCCTGGCACCACATAGGGCCTGGCCCATCACTGTTCCTGGGACAGGCTTCCAGGAGAGAAGTGGGAATGAAGAAGGAGCCTGCAGCTTCCCTGGACACCCAGAGCTGCCATGCTCTGTTGGCAGCAGTTCAGGCACAACTGTGTGGAGCTGCTGACGGGTCTTGGGGTGGCTTGGCCAGGGCTGTGTTGCTACAGCCCATAGTCCCAGTGACAATGGAGAAGCACATGCTAAACCCTGCCCTCCTAAAAAAACAAAGGCAACAAGCCACATGGGGAACAGCTTTGTGTCTTAAAGAGAGAGGACTAGTTACATTTGATCACGAGAGCTCAAGTGTTCCCTCAAATTCCCATGCCTCCCAAAAGCAGTGCGGCTGCCAGCTGAGCTTTGTCTGTGACCTCATATACATCCAGTGTATAAAACACATTCCACATATTGAACATTTGCATATGTTACATGTCTTTTGTTCCACTTGGGTGGCCTTTTCCTCCCCTCCCCCCCACCTCCTGCCCCATTACTCATCCATGCACCTCCCGTCACGTTATTCTGGACGTGTCACTTCTGAAGGCCTATACATCCCTACCCTGTGGAGAATGGGGGCTCTGCTAATTGTCAAACATTGAGTGGGGAATGATCAATGGGTGACTAATTGGATGCAAGAGGGAGTAAAATAGGTATTACTTAGCTTCTGCTCTTAATTAAGAGGATACATAATGCTGTGGGGAAAATCTTAACAAATGGCAGGAGTGGCTTTTGTCATTACGCAGGGTTTGATTACAAGCACTGCACAAGCTAACATCCGGGTACGGTTTTCTTTCCTTTCAGGTGTCTCTTCAGGTGTGACTGAAAAATGCCAAAGCAGGAGCCTTAAAATAAAGTAAGTGGAAAATATTTTTGCAGGCATGTGCCTAGCTGTGTAAACAGCAAGGCCCCAGTTTTCCTCACAGTGCAAAAGCAGCAAGGGACAAGCCACATGCAGAGAACCAGAGTGAGACCATCGTGCATGTTATGCTGAGGCAGACAGGGTTAAAGGCTCACTGCAATATCTCCAGGTTAATTCACAGCACCAATGTTAAAAGAGGAGCAACAAGACAGCGCTTTATTTGAACATTTAATCATTTGGAAGCAAAAACATACATGATTTATTTCTCCAAATACAGAGATATGGTAGGAAATATGAGAAGGGGCACTTGATACCAACACTTTCTTCCTAAAGAAAAAAGAAATATTACGACTCCTGAAGGATTAGGAACCTTTTTAGAAAAAAAAGGTCTGTGTCACTTGCCTTGCCAATGAAAACCATCCTGCATTTGAATCTGTCCTTTTTATGACAAGCCCAATATGACTCATCACATTCTGCTTGTAAATAATGTACAAATGAGACACTAACTTTAGAGAGCTCAGTTTTATTTGGCTTTCAGTGAGTGAAGCCAGTAGGGTAGGAAGACTTCAAATATATAAAAGAGGCCTTCAGAAGGCAATTATGGTGGCTTCAGTTTTGGAGATGAGGGTGGTTTTTGAAATGCTGAAATAAACTTGGGTATCTGTTGTTCAAGTTTCCTAATCCAAAAATGAGTTAATTGACAGCAGTTTCTACAGCTTTGTAGGAGGGTACTTAGGCTCGGGCTGGACCTTTGAAACCCACTCTGCAGACAGTGCTGTTAACAGAGTCAGCAGAGTGTGACTTTCAAGCTATTTTTCCTCTCCTGGTCAGGCTGTTAATAAGGTACATAAAGCTCAAGTGAGAGGAAACTGCTCCAAATTTCTGCTGTTTTCTGGGGCTTGGCAAGTTAAAGAGGGGACAGAGACTGGTTCTTTGGCCACATCTACAGACACCATTAGGTCTCTACATTTCTGGACCTGGGATTGCTCGCACAAGGGACAGATCTCACAGTCAGAACCTTCCTCTCCTGGCCAACTGGCAGCTGTCTACAGAGGTGGCAGGTGGACAGTGTTGTTTGCTGGATGTTACAAACCAGTGTCCAGGGTTTGACCAGCAGAGAACAGAGGACTGTCCATACCCATTGTTGGTGAGGGAGGCCATCCACCATGTGAAGGGACTCCATAGCAGAGTCTTTTACAAAGGAACGGCACAAATGTGAGTATTGATGCAACTTTCTATGGGACACTCTGCCTGCCAAGTCCCCATGCTGCCTGCATTCCCTGAAGAGCGGGTCATCACACAGCAAACACTACATACATCCCTCACATACATCCCAGGAAGGTCAGACACTCCACAGAGCAACTCTCCCTCCCTGCTTCCATCCTGTCGGTGTTCACCAAGGTCCTGATTTTGGTTCCTGTGTGGCTGTGGGCCCCTCGCCACCCTCACCCACTGTTGCACACAGGGCAATGGAGCTGTCACTGCTCCCAAGCTGGAGGCCAGTGGGAAAACTGGCAGGAGAGGCCGCCACCCTAGCCCAGTGTGGTACAACTCGGGGTTCAGGCAGCCTTGATGAAAATGCCAGCTGTCAGGGTGCTCATGGTACAAAACAGCTGTGCAGCGCGGGCCAGGCCAGAGGGATTAAACCTCCATCTGACTCAAATGACTGTGGTTATAAGGCAGCCACTCCAGCCTCAGGCATCTAGTGCTCATCATATCTGGGTCTGGCTGGGACCAGCAGGGACTGTCCAGGAAGTCTGGCAGCAGTCAAGGACAAATTTAGGATGCTCTAAAAGGGAACCCTTGCCTTGGCACAGGAGGGAGGAAGCAGGGAAGAAGGGAGTCAGGAAGGCCAGTTCTGGGGCCGGGCTGCAGGGCATCACTGCACTGCCATCAATACAGTCATACTTAGTGCTCGGATGGAGGCACATGCTGCTCCCAGCTGCTTGGGGTTTCCCTCAAAAAATGTGTGTGGTCATTCCCTGATGAGAGGAGGTAATTTCCTGGGTCACCGCTTTGCCTGTGGACCAGAAAGAGGGGCTGGCAGAGTGGTGGGCATCCCGAGAGAGCCATTCCCGGAATGCTGGGCATGCGACCCCTTCCTCCGGCCTCAGTGTCCCAGGACGGGCACAGGCAGGAGCAGCGGTGGCACTGGCGGAGCCAGGAGCTTTGGGGATGGTTTAGCTGTCCCTGTGTGTGCAGGCAGAGCTGCCAGGCTCTGAGGCAGTGCGGGGTGTCCGCCCGTGCTCATCACTTGGAGGATGAGGAGCCCAGGCTGCAGCTGAGTGAACCTCCTTCTAGGGTTAAAGAAAGAAAATGAGGCTGGAGACCAGGAAGAGCTTCTCGGCAGGGAGATGCGCTGAGTGAGGGGTCAGGACGGTGGTGTGGGCTGGGACGAAAGCGGCCGGAGGGGCTTTCCTGGGGCAGCTCACCCAGGATCTCCGCAGCTGCTCGGCTCCCAGGAGCGCTGAGAATACAGAAGTTTCAGCTTGTAGGAAAACCGAGTTTCTGCTCCTTGAGACTGCAGAAACTTGGAAGTGTCTAGAAATCGAACCTAAAAGAAAGAACCAGACGAAAAAATCCCTTTTTTTTGTTGTTCTTTATATAGTTCCTACACGCATCATGTGATTGTCTTCTGTAGTCTGAATCACAGCCGATTGAACATTCGGCATTGACGGTAAGGCGACCGAGGGCTGAAAGCGAGGGATGACTTTCCCGACGAGGCACACGGTTTAGGAATGACAGCGGGCTTCCCGCTGCGTTCTTCACCGGCGGCGCTCAGGCAGGGGCCGCCCGGCTCCCCACAGGAGAGGCGGCGAGCGGCGCGCAGGGAGCTGCGAGCTTCCAAGTGTCACTCCCCCACCGAGGCTCTCCCGCCGCCGCCGTGCTGAGCCCTGCCTGCCTCTTCCACTTCCTGCTGCAGAGCCAGTTCTGCCGCTCACCTGGGAGAGGCAGGGAGGCTGTCGTAAAAGGAGGGGAAAGCCGCCCGGCCGGCTGTGGAAGGAGCCCCGGGCGCGGCGGGGAGCGCAGGAGGCGCGCAGCCCTCTGGCTCTCCTCGGGCAGCCCAGCGCGAACCTCCCTCGGCCGCAAGGTAAGAAGTGCCCGAGGTGCCGCCTCTCTCGGCCCCTGTTTGCCCTCAGCTGCTGGCCCACGCCGGGCTCTCGCTGGGGCTTCCTTCCCCCACTTCCAGTTGCTGTCTCGCTCGCTTTCTCCCCCCTCTCTCGTGTCATGAGAGCCCGACTTTCACAGATGGTTACAACATGTTTCAGCCATTTCGCTGCAGTTTGTTGGTTCTTGTTCTTTTATTATTTTATTTTTTAAATCGGGAGGGGTTTGGGGTAAACACTGGGGGCGGACACGCCTGGTGTCGAAATGTTGTCCTGCCTATTTACGTAGTTGCCTGGCAATGCCTGGCGGCCAGGCCTGATCCCGCTCCCGCCCTACCCGGCTCGGCAGGCTCAAGGTGCTGTGTTGGCAGATGGCCCTCTCCTTCCTCTCCCTTGCCCTTCCCTTCCCTTTCCTCTTCCCTTTCCTTCCCATTCCCTTTCCCCGCTGACCTGGGGCTGCATAGGACATGTCCACAGACCTGGTGAGGGAGAGGCAGCAGCAAGGTGTGAAGCAGACAGGATCGCAGACCCTTTTTGCTCCATCCTCTAGAGCCTTGGCATGGGAACAAGTGGGAGCAAGGTGGTAGTGTTCTTTTCAATTAGGATAGAATCAGCTATATAAAACCTGCTCCCATTTCACCCAGTTTCAGGATACAGATTTTGTAGGGTTAGCACTGGCTGAGCACCAAGATTGGCACATCTGGGCGTACTGGCCCTCAGCCACCACCAGCAGCCCCGAGATTAGAAATTCCCATTTCCTGCAAGCTCTGGGTGGGTTCAAGGCCTGGACTGGCCACACCAGTGCCCCACCATGACCAGATGTTGCTGTGGCACCCAAGGTGGGTGATGCCAGGCACAGGGATGCCAGGGTGGGAGGCTAGCTCCCGATGGTGCTGCTGCCTGCACTGCTGTCAGCCTCTGAAGCCGGCCTTGCCCTTGCAGAGTGCTGGCAGTGTCTGGAAGCATGCTGTATTTTTTATTTTCTTATTTTCCAATGGAGTTGAGTTTTCTTTCTGCTTTCCTTAAGGCAGGAAGCAAGGCATGTGCAATTATGGTGTTCGTGTCTGTCAGTGCCCCCCACCCCCAGCAGTGGCTTTTGAAGTTTGGCAGAGGGTACATGTCTGAAAGATACACACATTTCTGCACGTTTCATGACTGCAAGTGAGCGAGGCAGTTCTCACGCCAGCTGAGGGAGACACGTCAGGTCCCGCAGGCTTCCCTCAGCCTCCCACCGCCCACGCACCTCGCAGCCCTCCTGCTGCAGAGCAGGGAGAGTGGCTAGGGATGGGAGAGACGTCAGCCCTCTGAAATACCAGGGCTTCTTTAGGAACCAGAGTCTTCAATGTAAGGTATGAAGCTATAGGAAAGCAGGCTGAGGAAATTGATAGCTCTCAGGGTGATCCCCCATCCCATCCCATCCCACTGAGCCAGCCACAGTTTTGTGACAGGAGTTTTGGATGTCCTGGGGTCATGGGATATCCCAGACTGGGGATTCTTAAGTGCTTGTGGGAGTTTTGTCAGCACCAGACATGGGTGGGAAGTACCCTCTGGAAAACAGTTACATTTTTAAGGATACCAAAGATAATTGTAGACATTTTCATATTTCACAAAATTTAGAAAACTGGCAGGGATATATCTGAGATGCCTGTTTAGATTGTGCTAGGAAATGTCACCCTTCTAGTTTCTTACTACTTATGAATCTACTTTCTTACTACTTATACATGTTGAAAGAATGCCCAGCATTCTTTCAACATGTATATCGATGTCCACACTAAAAAGGCAAAAAATATCGGGTCTGCTCTAGACTTTGCACCATGGACTGTTCAGTCAAGCAGCATTAGTGCTGCAAAAGAGTTTGTGATGTTTGCCATGCAGGCAGGATTTGAAGTATATTCTCCTGACACACATAGATTTTCCTGCCAATGCTTCAGAAAGTACATGAGAGCAACCATATAGCCAGAGGAACATTATTTTCATATGATTTTTCTAATTTTTCCAGAACTCATAAAAACAAACATTACTTGTCCTAGAGGGCTAAAAGTCTGGCCTAAGAATGTGACACGTTGCCTTACTCTTTGCTGTGGAGGGTACCCAAGGGAGAGGGTCAGCATCTGTGATGACAGCAGCCAAAATTTCTCATGGTGAAGTGTGAAACTCTGAAGCTTGGATTTCCTTGGCAGTGCTTATTTAAGTTGTGGACCCAAACCGGTTCCCACATTTGCACTTGCTCCTCCTGTAAGGATTTCTCTCTGGGTTTTTTTGAGGGAAGTTGTGTCTAGTGCTTCCATAGAAAAAGCTGCAAGTAGAGCAAGTGCTCTTGCACACTTATCTGACCCCATGGCAACAGCATTCTTTGGGATCTCACCATGGGCATCCTCACAGCAGCTTGCAAATTCTGCATCCACTTACTCCCATCCTGCAGATGGATATCAGCAGCACCAGGGAGCTTAAGGGATTCAGCCAAAGTATGCAGGAATTATTTGGAAATCAAGAAATTCTTGTCTGTTCCCCCCACCCTCTCTGCTTGTGATCTCTACCCATGCCATTTCAGAAATGCTGTGACTGGTGAATAAAAAGCCCTGTCCTTGTGTGTTGTGCACCAAGGAAGGTGAAGTTTCTTTCTCATCCTGATGATGTTTTCTGTTTTAACAAGGTAGACAAATAAAACTTTGATCAAAAGAGTAAAGGTATTTCCCCCCTCTCCAGAAGCAGCAGAGAGCACAACCATGCCTGTGTTGCAGTCTCTCTCTCTCCTCTGTTTCCTCATGGCAGAAGGTTTCTAATCAGAAGCAGATAGATGGTTAGTGTGTGTTTTGGGACAGCACATCCTGACAAGTCTTCGTGCTAGAAAACAGATGAAACCTGATGGATTTTGCAATCAGCTGCAAGAAAATAGTACAGATGAGCTGAGTCCAACACCCTTCCCCTTGTCCTCTTGCCTCCGTGAGAGGATTTTTAGGGGACTTTGGCTATTGCTTCAAACTTGGGTGCTCAGGCCCACCTCTACTGACCTGCAGAAGAATTTGCTCCCCTTCATTTATGCTCTCCCTGCAGGTTTCTAGGAGTGACCATGGCCAGCAGCATCTGGCTCTGAGCAGGAGGTTGGGTGACTTCCTCTGTCTCCCTGGCAGAAGCAGAGGAAGAAGCTCTCTGGGTGTGGGAAGCCTCACAATGAAGCTGGAAAGGGGTTCTTGTCAGGAGCTTGAATCACTGAGCACCCACCCACAAAGGTTATTTGCTGAATTAATGCACATTGCAGAGCTGGGTGTATAAGGAGAGGAAAGCAAAAGAGTGGATTAAGGAGTTCCCTTGACATTTTTGGGAGCAGTCCAGGCTCTGTCCCTCTAGGAAGGGCCTCCTCACTTTATTACAAGCAGGAATATAAGCAATGGCTCCAGCTGGTTATCAGTAATCTCCTGAATAGTCAGAGGTGCAGGGGGGATATTAAATTCTTGACGTTTTCTGGCAATATCATGAACTGACTTGAAGTGCAGTGTCTTTCCAAATGAGGTTGGGCACGATCTCTGCTCTCCAGCAGCCTCTGTGCCAGAGCAGGGATCAGGCTACAGGTTTCTGAGGGTATTTCAGTATGCTGAAGCATTCCTCTCCTCTAGTTCTTCAACACAGGAGACCAAGCAGGTAATTTTCTGCCCTATGCCTAACTGTATTTGCAGGATAATCTAACTAGAAAAGTCAAAGGAAACAAAATGAAACTCAGCAGCACAAGGCAACATAAAATACAGGGATAATGGGCTCTTTTGGGTCTTTTTCCAAAAGCCAAGAATCTTCAGCTGAGCAGAAACAACACCCTGAAGTACTGCTGCTGGAGGAGGATGTTTTTGAATAATCTGTTACATTTTCAGCAATGTGGGGATTTCTCTTGAGAATTCCCATCCACATGCTATTGCCAGCGTTGCTCAAAGAATGTTCAGCATGTCCTGGGGTTAATTTATCCCTGGGGCCATCACTACAGGCAGAGCTCTGCTGTTGTAAGAGCTCCTCTCTCCAGCCAGGGCTACTGACGGAGGAGGAGGAGGATGAAGTCACATTTCCTACTTTCTTGATGCCAAAGCCCTCATCCCCTTGGTGCCTTCTGCCTTGACTCTGTGGGAGCAGGGGCTGTGCATGGATCTCAAAGCTCAGCTTTTGCTTACATCTTGCAGCAGGATCTAAGCAAAAACCAATCTGAAACAATAGGAATTTTTTGCAGGTAAAAACGTAAGTGGTGGATTTGGTTGTCTCTGCTGTCTGACCAAATTATTTCACTCAGATACTCTGAGTAATTTTTTAAGCTCAAGTTACACAGGAAGGAAATAAGGCTGTCTTTTAAATATTAAGTTGATTTGAGAGATGAAGAAGCATTTATCCATTCAGAGGTTAAACTAATAGGAAAGACATTTTTTTTTAATATTCTGAAGTAAGACATTTGAAGAGTTTGGTGGCTGATTATTTGCTGTACTTTAATAAAGTCTTAATATCCCTGACTAAATACATTAAATAATAAACTTCAAGAGAGCAAACCTGAATTTTCCTTGCCCATGTTGTCTCTTTCAGTAGATTCATGAAGTTCATTTCATAGATAGCTAGATGTTAGCAATGGAACTAAAAAAAGTGCTACAACTTTGGAGGTTGTAGCCTCCAATGGAATTTAGTAACTTTTAAATCCCATCTGACACCCAATCCAAAACCTATGGAGGTCAATAGAGAGATTTCCATTTACTTCATTGAGCTCTGGATTGAGATCTTGGTTTCTTCACAGAAATCTGTTCTTCTTGTCATGGTGCTAAAGGCTATTGAGTATAGAGGATCTGAATTCAAAGTGTTTTCTAGCATTTTTACCCAGCTATTTCAGAGACCATCAAAACAGCATCTTGGTGTATGAGGCATTGCAAATTTGTTTCTGAAAAGTCTAGTTTGCATGTTTGCTAAGGATTATGTCGAATGGAGGGATGCTCAGCCAATGCATGAGGTGGAGCTGTACCCCAGTCCACAGCTGAGTTGTGCTTTGTGAACACCAGGGTGAATTTTATGCAAGGAACCAGTTTACTGGAGATGCTCAGAGGGGAATAAGAGTCTGCAATGTGATTTGTGCTGCCGGAGCGTGCACGTCATTCACTTTTACGACCAAATGTTCAGAGATATCCACAAGTTGAAGCATGTCTGAGCAGGCATTCCAAGGCCAGCTGATCCAAGGGTCAGGTTTACAAAGCTGTCGAGGTGAGCAGAAGACAGCTGCTTTGCAAGGCGTTAGACAACCTCTCCTTCACAGGTGCTTCTCTGTCAGGGGGCCGCTCAGCAGCTTTAGGGCCTGGTTGGTGTAAGTCTGACTGTGCTGAACTGCCCTGCTGAGTCACCACCCCAGGGCAGTCATCATTTAAACAGACATCTGACCAAAGGTCCCAGGCAAAGGGCGCTTCGCCACCCTCACACAGCACAGCACATCCTGACACAGGCCTGCGCTGGCGCTGAGAGCTCGAGGTTTTCTCTTTCCGTAACATCAGTTATGCCTGTCAGAAAACCAGGACTCAGCTGGCTGGTGTTTGTGACTGGGCGTAGAGGAAAAGGGGTGCAAACCGCAGGGAGAGATGTGATGGTGGGGAGCTGACTGTCAGCCTTTCCAGGCTGGGTGCTGGAATGGCAGGAGCTGGTTTGGCACCAGACCCAGCGCTCTCGTGCAGGGGCTGCAGCTGTCGGAGCAGCAGCGTGTGTGCTGTGCTGGTGCAGCTAATAGCTGCTCTGAGGACTTGCCTACATGGGAAAATTTACCAGTGTAATTATCCCACTGTAATTATCCCAGGATAACTCTCCCTGTGGATGTGCTTAATATAACATAGGGTATGTATGAATATATGGCAAATCTTCAGCACAGATGGGGCTTAAGTTACAGAGAGGAGGAATGTTTACATTGCAGCCCAGCAGCAAAGCACAGTTTATATCCTACTTCCTAGCAAATGTTACACCCAGAATTTTCTGTGCCAGAGGTACTTTCAGGGGGAAGTATGTGTCATTTGATCTGATCAGCAAAAATGTAAAGCCTCAACCTTGCCCTGTAACATGGGGCACAACATTTGCTTTTACAGAATCGCTGTGAAAGCCAGGGTAAAGGCTTGGGACACTCCTTTGTGTCTCTCTGTGATTGTATTCAACATTTTTTTATAGAGTGGTCAGTTAAATTTGTTCATTTGACTTTTTTTTTGTTCAAGATGCTGTGACTGAAGTTGGGAGAAACCCTTGGATTGCTAAAAGCTCTTCTAACATGTTGTGATTTTGACTTTCTCCACCAGGCTTTCAGACCAGATTCTTTTGCCAAATTTTGTCATTCCCATTGCTTGACTGCTTAGTCCCCTCTCCTACTTGGGATTTTAGCTTCTTCAATCTGATAGAAGGTGAATGGCAGGGGAAATGATGAGCACCAAGCACATTTTTCTATAGTCCATGGTTGGAGAAAGAATTTGCTGGGAGGAAGGTGAGCTCCACCCTGTAAGAGGATGAAGATGGCTGCAGTTCCTGAAGCCTGCTCAGCATTCACCCATCATGCTGTTATCATCCTGACTCAGGGTGAAGCAGAGGCATCCATCATCAGGAGTCACTTGGCTGGACCAGATTTACTGATAGCAGCCCCAAAAGGAATTCATAATTGATAATGTTATTTTGGGCCCAAGTCAGTTCTGAAGGAAAGAGGCAAAAAAAATCCAAACAATAACTAATCTCTCTAAATTATCTTTTAATTTACAGCAATTTAAAATAATGAGTCGTGTGATAGTAGACAGTAAGAAATGATACAATATAAGCAGCAGCACTTAGAAACAAGATTTTGAGTTGAAACTACTCAGCTAGGTTTGTGGTGAAGTTTAGATCCAATGCATCCGCTGTTATTAGAAGGTCAGGAGTAAAATAATTGCAAATGGTTGTGTTGCCTGGATTGTGCCTAAACCAAACCTCCAAAATTAAGCAGTCTGATCTACTATCAGGTGCTAGAATTACTTCTGAGAGATGGTTCATCTGCTTTTGTCCCCCTCCAGTGTCAGCAGGAACAGTGGGTTTCAGAAATCCCTTAAAAAACACTTGGTTTGCGCAACACGATTTCCAAAACTTTAACTGCTGTTTCTTTTCCAGCATCTGAGATAGAGTTATTTTAGGATTACTGCCCATGTGAAACTGCACCATGTTCACAAGAGTCCTTTCTCTTGTTTTCCAGCTTGCTGAAAAAATCTGGCCTTGCAGTAAGGCAGCTGACTCACTTCTGGTTCAACGAAAAAATTTGGAAATGGCCTTTATGTCAGGTTAGTCCAAACTATAATTCTCTACTAGCTTCACTCCAGCTAACCCTCTATTTTCTTGTTTTGCCAAAAGTCAGACTATAATTCTCTACTAGCTTCACTCCAGCTAACCCTCTATTTTCTTGTTTTGCCAAAAGTCAGCCAGACCTTTCTTGCTGTTTTCTGACATCCTTTTAAAAAGCATTAAAGTATAAAGAATTTAAAGAATACATATTTCTCTTCAGTATTCCAGCTCACAGTCACCGAATGGTGATGGATGAGAGGCGTTTGACTGTGTGCCTGTCCACCTCCAGTGTTACTTCTCTCAATTTTTCAGGTACTTTTGTGGGTCGAAGCATACCAGTTGAAGTGGATGAATCCATGCCATTTTCCCAGTTACCTGAACACGTCTTGGAAAACGCTCTGCAGCCTTCTGGAGAAGATATGGAGGATGAGGAGGCCCAGAGCCCACGTGTTGCTCAAACACCTCGGGCCAATCCATCTTGCCTTTGCAGAGCACCAGCATGTCGTCATTCAGCACTGTCCGTGGAGCCTGACAGCAGCTTGTGGTCATCAAAGGATACTGATCCTGATGGAGGTGGACACTCCTGTTCCCCTAGTGAATCAATATCAGGAGTATTTCCCTCGAAGACACATTCTATAGGGATGGACAAACCAGGCATGCAGCCAAGATCACAGCTTTCGGCTGACACTAGGCACAGCTCCAGTAAATCAGAGCAGATCTTGTCTGATGTTCCTGAGGACTCACTGGAGGAGAGCAGCCAAGGGAGTTCACAGCCACAGCAACCCTCAGGAAACAGACTCCTGGCAGAGCTGGGGACTGTAGATACAGGGTACAACTCCCAGTCACAAGACGTCATGGGCATCAGGCATCTGGAGCCCCCCTTACCACTGGTGTCTGTGCTGAACCCCCAGGACCTCCCAGGACCACTGATCTCCAGAGAGTTTTTGGGACCTGAGCATCAGCAGTGCCCTCTGTGCCAGCACTTGCCACATCCCAACACCCCCTCGCAAGCCCACGGCTGTTTCAGGCACCGCTGCCCGGCACAGCAGCCCGCCCAAGGCCCATGTGAGTAGCACCTCTCGCCCCACAGGAGGTTCTCTGGGTGTGTCTCAGCCATCGTTCACCAAGGGCGTGTTCCCAACACAGCATGCAATCATTAAGCTCCTTAAACATCCAGCTGCAGTCCATTTTACAATTTCAGATTTTTGGGTTATGTGGCTGGACTCTGCTGCAAAACCTCTGAACCTCTAAGTTAAAGAGGTCACAGTTACTCATCGAGTGCAGGCGAATGATTTTGCCTAGAAACCAGCCTTTATCGGTCACGCTGAGCATGCACAGCCTCTCCCTGCTGTTATTTCATATTCTAGTCATTTCCTTCCTCCTTGCATCAGTCATTCGGCAGCCTCCTATACCGACTCAATTCCTGTTGTTTTCATAGATTTCCTTGCTCCCCCTTGGATCCCCAAAGTTGAGAATTTCCTGCCAGGATCAGGATGGGAGGTTACCCTTGATCTCCATAAATAGTATCTCCCAGCACTATGGCCAGACTCACCCATGTGTTTTATTTCTATGTGAAAAGAGCGTGACATCCATCATCCTCATTTTTTTTTCCCCGTTGTCAGCTGAAATGAAAGCTCATTACTTAAAATGGAGCCCTCTCAGCTGCTGGTGATTGTGTCGCTGAGCGCTGATGTGACTCCCTCAATATGGGCGTTCTGGCTCTGGGAGACTACAGCACAGTTTACAGCCTGCTATTAATTAGTATTCCTTTTCAGCCTCTGAGATTTTTATCTGTTATGAAGTGAGCTTTGAACATTCAACAGCAATATCATTGTTTTGATATAATTTATATTACATTAGGCTCATGAGACCCTGACCTGTTTTGGGCTGCCTTTGTAATAAAAACTGTAGGCCTGTTCTGATAAACTTCTTTTTTTTTTTTTTTTTAACCATTTTTGTGACTCCACAGCATTTATATTGCATCTGTTTAAGGAGTTTTGTCATTCCAGCAATGTGCTATAATCAGGTATATGAAAGAGGAGGGTTTCAGAAACTCAGTTTCCAGCTCTGATTTTGGAACTTTGTAAAGGGGAAGGGGCTACAGATGGACTTTCAACAATATTTACAGCTTAAAATGTCCTCTGGTTTTCTTTTCCTACCTCCTCCTTTCAGTTCAGCTTTAAGCAGACAAAAAGCTGGTTGCACAACACCCCTCACTATTTACCTCCATAGGACATTTACTGAATGAGGACATTTTGTTTGAAAGCAGGAGCTCTGAAAGGCTTTCTTCAGAAAAATCACTACCATTCCAGTCATATCCAGAGGGCAAAAAGAGTAAAATAAACTCAGATGGCTGGAGCAGATTTGGTCAGGACCAAGAAGCTGGCAACTGTACTCCTGTTTCTCACATGCCTGGTACAGAGTAAATCACCTCCTGACAGCTCCTTGTGTCTCAGATAATTGTTGGGCAGTGGCAGCCCACAACAAAGCTCTGCAGTTTGTGTGCTGCAACACGCCTCCCCTGGGGAAGAGCAACTGTGCCCAGAGGCTCTAAGCTGGCTCGGGGCACCTGCTGTTTGAGATACAACAACAAAACTGTTTCTGAAGTCAAAGAAATGTTCACAACAATGCCGTGTGCCCAGGGATCATTTTTTCCGATATCTGTTTTTGAGGGATGTGGGGGTGTGTGGGCACACACGCCTGGCCACGCTGTGCTTTGAACTGTGGCTGCATCCAATCTGCTGTAGCAGCAGACAGAACCAAAGGAAGCTGGTGAAACATTGGCCTTAAAACCTCCAAACCAAACTGCATGTCCCAGATCCCTGCCACCTTCCCTAGAGCTGGTCATGAGGAATCCAGGAGGAAATCATACTGACTTGCAAGATGATTCTCTCAGACCCTTTCACCCTGTCCTGTTGCAAATAGTTAAGGGGGGGTGTGGGAAAATCTCCTAAAACAATCTCAACAAATGCAATGTTGCTGACTTACAATTTCATCAGGAATCTGTGTAATTATGGGGTTGGTTGGAGGGCTTTTTTCTTAGTTGTTGGCTCCCAGAATTGGAATATTTCATCAAAGCTTTGTTCTCTTTCTTTATCCTACCCTTAAAAAAATATATATATATTCCTCATGGCTGCTAGGGAAAGGAAAGCATGACCCAAAAATAGCTAAAATGATTTAAAAAACAATTTTGGGGTAAAAAAGCATTTGAGTACTGCAGCTTTTAGAGACAGCTCGTAACACCATAATCATGCAGTGCTAATAAGCCTTGTCAGGCTGGACTTTGATCTGCACACAGCAGCTTGGAAGTGCACAGAGCTGCTGCCTAATGAAAACTGCAAGCAGAAAGACTGAGAGAAAAAAAATTCCTCCTCCCCAGTTGGGAAACAAACAGCTTACATTGCTTTCTCTTTCAGTTTATGCCAACAGTTCCACTGTACGATAGTTATTAATCAGTGTTACGTGTGGCCAGCAACAGTACAGGTTTTCAGAATTACTTGAGCAAAATTATCACTTTGGGCTTCCCCTGCAGCGTCTTGGATGGCAATGGGAGCAGCAGCAAGTCCTTAAAATGTCACTTTGACAGAAAATTCACACAGGGTGAAGTAACAAACTAAGCGATTATTTTTCCTCTTTTCATTTACAATAATCACAGTCTGTTTAGCCCTAGTGTTGCAAACTGATTTGTTCCAGGATTTTGCATCTGCTTTCATGAGAACTTTGGGATGATTCATTTTCACAAGTCATTGCCAAAAAGAAATTAAAAAAAAAAAAAAAAAGAAGCCCTACCAAAACCACTGAGGCACAGTAAGTGCAGGGACAAAGCAGCCCTGAATGCCCAGCCCTGAGCAGGGATCTGAACCGTGCCGTATGTGAATGGGAAGTAGCAGGCTTTAGACTCTAAAACATTCCTTCATCTGGCTTCTTTCAGAGCGAGATACCTGCAAATGCCTCCAAACTGCTCAGTTTCCCGAGACATGCCTGGGAAGGAATAAACACAAACTGAGGCAAAAATGTGTTGGCTGAAATGATAGTTGCTGCCTTTATTTTCTCACCCTCCCAGATGGCAGAGCTCCTTACCAACATTTTGCAGAGCCATCGCAACCACTTCCTCCTGTTCCTGGACCTTGCATGAGAGTTATCCGCCCGGCCCAGCAAGTCATCCCAAATTACTCAAACCTTCGTGCTCCCAGAGGCACTGGAGATCGACCACCCCAGAGGACATGCTCCTCCCCTGGTCCTCCTCGATTCCCGTAAGTGTGCCTGGCAGGGTGGGGGTTGTGGGAAGTGGAAGTTCCTCTGATCTGATTTTGTGGGCTTTCAACCAGTAATTCTGAATCCTTGTACTGTGAGCGTGCCCAGGCTGCAGAAGTACATGTGAGATGCTGGATTGCATTCTTTATTTGCTGTTTTACGCCCAGTGGGGGCCTGACCCTTTCCTAAAGGACTTCAAAGGCAGATACCTGATATGTTGTTAGAGCACACCCTGAAATGCACAGTTAAGGAAGATAAATGCTTGAAGGTTAAAGGGATGAGGGGCTGAAAAATATCTCAGTTGAAACCTTAGAGCTCTCCTGCTCCTGGGCAAAGGTCAATTTGGTGGCTTGCTAGGATCTTCAGCTTTACACTGTTCCAGCCTGGGACAACTCAATCACTGGCGTCCAGTGATTTCCTTCTTACCTCTTCTGTGATGCAGAGAAGAAGGGAGAAAATCCCATCAGTTGCTGATATATTTCTACACTGCAATTTGCAGCCTTTTCTATGATTTTTCATAGCAAAATGATCTGATAACCTTTCATCCAGGGCTTTTTGACTGATTTTCAAATATTAATTTACCAGGCCTTATATTCTTACAAGTATCTCATTAGCAGATGGCAAATCCTGTTCATGCAGAGGTTCCTTCAGACTCAGCTGTCTAAAAACAAATTGAAGCTTCATGTTTTGAGAATATCTGAAATCAGGCTGGTTTTATTCAAGTGCCACAATACTTACAGAGGTATTAAACTTACAGGCATCTGTATGTGACATGGTCTTGGGAGGGAACTGTTGGACAGGACAAAAGAGGGCAGACTGCTGAAATAGCATTCTGCTCTGGCCTGTGAAAGGTTAAGGGCTGTAACAGAAAAGTGACAGCAAGATAAGGGAGTACCTGCAGCAGAGAGAATGCACTGAAGAGTTTATATGAAAATGTAAAAATATTGGGGGGTAGTGGGTATCCTTTGCAGTAGTAAAATTTAAAACCAGACTCCTGATTTTTGGCACATTTGTTAGGTAAGGTGGAGTTTCAGGAAGATCTGTAAATTAGCCACTGGGTAGTGTTTTTGTGGCCACTGGTGAAGCATGTGTTGCTTTTTATTAGTACTTTCTTCTGCTAAAAGAGATCCAGAATACTCGGGGTCTGTCCTGCGGCTGCGTGGCTGCTGCTTGCAGGCTGACTCCAGGAACAGCAGTTATGTGTTGGTAATATTTGCCTATAGAGTATTTTGTAACAGAAAACATCTGCACTGAAATGAATAAACCAAATCTTAATGTGACAACAGAAAACATGCTGCGACCAGCCTGTCATCATTCATTTAAGGAAGGCTAAGAAAAAAAAAAGAGTGGTCTTGATTGACTAAACATCATGGCTGTGTGGGGAAAAGCTCTCAGAGAAACATAAAACTCATCCAGCAGATTCAACCCAGCAGACTGCAAGCACACCTCATGTAAAAATCTCTATTATAGATTCACCTTCCCATTGACTTACAATCTGAAGCCAAAGTGTAGCAGGACAAGAACTGCTAAGCTTCCTAAAATCATCCCTTTCTGTCTGTTTACTACAATGAAGTAGACATTAGGCAAGGTTATTGCAGGTCTGGAATGCCAGTCCCTGACATTAGAAACCCTTGTTTGGGTCTGCCATTGATGGTCAAGAAATTAACTTTGTTCCCTTTGGCAAAACATAGGGTTTGTCCAAGACTGGAGGCCCTCTGGAGCTGGAGCTGGAGTGCCCTTGTAGACCCATTTTCCCAATTTCCACCTTTCTCTGAGCCTCTTGTGCTCCCCAGGGCATGGTGAGAGCATCTGAGGTGCCATGAAGCGTTTTTTACCTTTAGATAATGGGAAGAGGTTACCCAAAGGCCACCCTGCTCCTGTACGTGCATAACAGCATGCACGACATTATTTCTCACTCAGAAACAGCCTTTGCTTCTGCTAATTGCAAGCTGAACAGCTCTCAGCTATGATGTGACTTACTTCCTGTGATTAATATTGTTTCTCTGATAAACTGCTTCTTGTGGTAGCCTGTCACCAAGGTATCTGTTCCAAAGACACTGTGATAACTAAGCAGATGTGCTGAGCCAAGCATTTCTGGGAAAACTTTTCACAGCTAATACGCAGATAAGGTTCTTAGTGTGTTATTAGAAGGAAAAGAAATTCTGAATTTTGCCCGAAAATAAGTATTTTCTAAATCCTCCATTGCTTTTCTTTGTAGAAACCAGCTATACAACCAGCTACCTAATGGTCAGCTGCCCCCCAAGGCATGTGGCCTGGATGAAGCATGTGGTTGTCCTTCTGACAATTTTCCATCTCCAGCTGCTGTCCCGAGACCTCTCAGTAACCCTGCAGTCAGGGGAACTCTGAGAACCAGCAATCTGCCGGAGGAGTTGCGTAAGTGGTTAGCAAATTTGCTCTGTGCAAGATTTTACAGCACAGCCTAACAGCTTTAGGTGAGAGAGCTCCAGAGTGGTGAAAGGGGGAGGAGAAGGCAGGGGGAAATGACATTAAGACACAAAGACAACAAGAAAAGAAAATACCAAGTGTCACCACATGTGTTGGGTGTGAGTGTCTGTGTTTGGTGGGATGGAATTACCCCCTTGAATCCTGAAAGGGTAATTGTCATTAATTGCTTGTTATTTTGTTTACAAAAAGTAAATAGTGTTTAGAATGTTTTCATGACTCCTTGCTAAACAGGATGTCGCTTTGAGGCAGGAGGGGCTGGAGCTTACAGTAAAAGACTAATAACAAACAAAGCCTGAGGGATAAAATGTTTCTGCCTGTCCCAAACTAGACAAAAATATTGAGCCCTGACCTTAGTTTCTCCCTGAACTGGTGAGACTGGAGAGGACTCTGAGACATGCTGAGGGCAGCACAGGCTCTGCCTGACATGCTTCTATTGCCACCAGCACCACAGATAGAGTCATCCTCCAACTCTAAGGGAAAGTCAGGTTTCAGAAAAATAGCTTCTTTCTGAATGCCAAGCTGACTAGTAGATGAGATGTACCATTGCTAAGAACCCCCCACAGCTCTCCTGAGGTTTCAGTTTTTCCTTTGTTCTTTGTTCTGCATATCACCTTTCAAATCTTGCATCTCTCTGGCCTGTAGGAGTGAGGCATGATGCCAGATGCCACTCTTGGATAGACCCTGCTTTATCAGTTAGCGTGTCCTACATGGAGGAATTACTGGGTAAAACAGGGTCATCTGTGGTACATGCACAGCTGGATTAGATCAGCCAGCTGGTTTACCCTGATGCAAATCCATGAAAACCCCTCCCACAAGGGCAAGGATTGTTGTCACCAGCCATGCATCCTGCCTGCACAGGGGGCTAATGCTGCTCCAAGGAGAGGCAGAATGACATGCATAAGGGCCCTTCTAGCTCTGTGTCGTATCAGTGGGTCTGGGGAAAGCTGTGCTGGCTGCAGCTAGTGCAGGTAACACGAGCTGAGGGTGAGAGCCCAGGCTCAGGTATGCCCAAGTGCTGGGAAAAAGCAGCTCTGGTCACAGGGCAGGGGGAGCAGCAGAGGGATTTACCCTCTGCAGCTTGCTAGTAAGGCAGGAGGAGCTCAAATCTAGAGCAGGGTTTTGTACAGGGGGTTGGTCTCAACACTGAGCCACTGCACCATCCCACATCCATTTTGTAAACAATCCAAAGAGACCTAAGTGGGCAGAACCTGCAGCGTGGTAGAAAAGGAGGGCTGTGATAGTCTCACCCTCCTGAATGGTGTATTTGAAGGAGGGCTGTGATAGTCTCACCCCCTGAATGGTGTATTTGAAGGAGGGCTGTGACAGTCTCACCCTCTGAATGGTGTATTTAAATGTGTTACGTATTCATACAGACTCTCTCTCCCAGGCAAAGTCTTTATAACCTACTCAGTGGATACGGCAGTGGAGGTTATGAAATTTGTGAACTTCCTGTCTGTAAATGGATTTCAAACTGCTGTAAGTATTCCTTCTGGAAAAAATGACTTTCAACCAGGGAAGAGGCTTTTTTTAAAAAAAGCAGTGGCAATACACTGTCCATTGAAATGTTTTTCTGGTTATCATCACGTTTTGTAGGCCAAGGAAGATACAAATAGATTGAACTAGCCCTGGTGTTGCATGCTGTAATTTAAATGATCTGCCTTTTTGTTTATTCCTCTTTTTACTGAATTATGTGCTTTGAAATATGCTTTAATAATGACCCTGGAAAATTTCACTTAGTGACACCAGATGGGCAATAGTGTGAGGTTTTGTGAGCTATTCCATTAATATTGTCTCATATTTGATCTGTAATATCAGTGTTACAAAAGGTCAATCTAATGTTCATCCTATCCTACCTTTTTTTTTTTCCTCCAATGCTATTGCATCATTGATTCTTTCGATGTGAATAGCTTTCTGCTAAAAAAGATCTAAAATTAGATTCTAAAATTCACACAGCTTAATGAAACAGCCCATCTCATGGTTTCGTTTGCTTTGTTATCCCTTTAAAAGTGATTTTGCTTTGTTATGCTTTTAAAAGGGATTCTAAAAATCATTGGCCTGAAAAGGTCTGTGTCATACTGTCTAATCCCATAAACCATTCAGATTTTAACTGAATTTCTCATGAGTTTGCTTCATCTTAGAGGCCCACAGAGGCTCTAGGATTCAGTGTTCATCAAAATCTTGATTCATATTTTCTTACTTCAAGAGCATATGCTATCTGACCCCTCAACCTTCACTCTTTGGCTCCAATTCAGGAAAGCATTTAAGCAAGTGGCTATCATTAAGCTGAATGAGACTCAGTGGGGGGGCTTTGCACATGCTTATTTATTTTCATGAATCAAAGTTTTTTTACAGAGACTGCAATTATACTTCTCTCCAGCAGTTCTGTACTATGACCAATTCATAAGAAAGTTTCTGGGCACCATAGCTTTACAGATTAGAAGGTTCATTAACAGCACCTTTGCTGGACAGGCAACTCTTGGAGCCTATTGCAGAATAATAGATACAGCAAAATGTCCCCAAAGCAGGGAAACAAGTGGGCTCTCTGCATTCAGAAAAGGAAAAAGATAGACTTGAGAGCAGATCATGACTCTTATCTCAAAGACTTGGAGAAGTTAATACTTACTCCATTGGTCACAGTCACTGACTGATGGCTTCTGAGTTTACTGGGCATGCAGAGAAGCAAGCGGTGTTGGTATTCAGTCCTATGAAGTCCTCCACTGCTCTGCTGTCACTGAAGTCTGGGTGACTGCACCCAGTTATCAGCGACCTGGCTGACTTCCCACCACACACGCTGAATATTTAGTTCAATATGAAGCTAAAGCTTCATACTCAGTACAACTTTGCAGTCAGAAAATAGCAGGCATTTGCAGCTATACAGATGGAGAAGGTGAGCAGCACCTTGTTGTTTCCAGTAAAAAATGCCTGGGAGTTGGGGGCTGGCAGGACAGCCAGTCAAAGGGCCAGCTGAGTGGGATCCCAAGGATGTGCCTGCCTCTCTGCCTGCTGCCTCTCCAGCTGGACTGCACAGAAAAGGGGAGAAGTGCATGTACACATTTCTTTCCTAAGGGAATTGGGCATGCTTGTAATAAACAAGGGAAGGAGTAGGTGCTCTATCAGTGCCGTAAAATGGGGAGGAAAGGTGAAGGAATGCTCACCACAGACTTCCATTCTCTTGCAGATTGATATCTTTGAGGACACGGTACGAGGTATTGACATCATTAAGTGGATGGAGCGCTACCTAGGTGATGTATGTAAGGGCAATTTAACCTTGTTTATAGCAGAGGTGATCTGAGGAAAATGGTTGAATTATTCTAATACGCAGCAGGGACAGAATGAAAATGCAAGACCCTACTGTTGTCTTCCCTCCCCCTGTAAAAATGGCAAGAGGTGTTTCAGAGAGAGTGTAGGCAAATCTTTGTATCTGATAGTCCCAGATCTCTTTCTTTAAGAAATGAAGTGCTAATCCTGGCATTCTTGCCAAATTCTAATCCTGTCTGTTGCATCCATCCTGAAGCTGCCATTGGAAAAGTTATTCCTCCATCCCCTTTTTAAATAGTGGGGTTTAGCTGTGCTTGGTTACTGTATTAGTGGTATCTGTATTTCATCCCAGGCTGCATGGTCATGGCTAATATTCATCCTTCTCACCTGTAGCTTTTACACGGATATCTAAAACACTGAAGGGTTCTTCTGGATAAATCATCCTACATTTAAACTGGAAATTGATATTCTCTTGGTTGATATATAGATTTGCTCTCATCACTTCAGCTATATCTAAGCAGTAAAACAGATTTATTTTGCTGCCAGTGCTGTCCCCTGCAGCAACAGCTTCCTCTGAAGTTCTCCTGAGCAGTGAGTGCACATCTTTAGGATCAAACCAGGTGGTCGGACTATACCAGCACAGCTGGGCACAAACTGGCAATTCTGACACTGGACAGGAGCCATCATGGGCTGGCTTCCTTGGATTCTCACCCTGCTGAGTGGCCACCGGGTCTCTAACTCACGCTGGCCAGTTCTCCATGTTCAGGAACAGGATGACAGAAGTGTTGGACTCTCTTCCACCTGAGCAAGGAAGCTCAACCATCCAAGCCACCCCTACACATGCAGGACAAATTAGGCTTGGGCTCACTGTGTGTAATGTAGGTAATGAAACCAGAAGACAGGGTGACTTTGCTTTTGCCAAAAACATCATTATCACTTAAAATACAAGCTGGCAGATCTCCTCTGGGACTTGTGCACAGTCAGTAGGAGAAACCAGTACGTGCAGAGAACAATCTCCTGTCTCCACCTGTGGATCTTTCTCTGACTACCCACCCCAGAAAAGTTTGGTTTCCCTCACTGACTGTAGAGGCAGTTTCTAACTTCAAAACCCTTACGTGTGTGGAGGAAGGGACTGCTTGGACACAAGCAGAAGAAAGTGTGCAACTGGGCATGTCCCTTCAACACCCTCAACATCTGCAAATGCTTACACTCGTCAAGCACAAGCAAAAGTAATTCTGGAGTATGTTGAGCCTGTGTAAGGGATAATGGCTCCTTACCATATTTGACCCTGTGTTGGGGCAGATTCTCTTGATACAGCACAGAAGGGAAGAGTTAATTACATGCCAGGCTGACTGTGACCCACAGACCTGGAAGCCTTACACAGCCTGATGTGCTGGGGATGAAGCGCAGGCCTCGGGTAAACACAAGTAGGAAGCTTTCATCTGCTGCATTTCAACTGGCCTGCCATTAAGGAGGAGAGGTATCTCCCAGATGTAAGGAATGGCCCCTCTCTGGAAACCAGAGCTCATTGTGGGGCTGGCGTTAAACACGTCGGAGGCAGGATCTGAGCTGTCCTAGCAAGATGGAGGAGCAGCTCATCATGACAGAGCTGCCAGGTACCCATAAACCTGCCCAAGCCATCCACAACAGCCCCCCCTCCACCCCACAACCACCTCTCTGCACACTTTGCCACTAAGATCAACAAGAAAAGATGTCATTTCTGCCACTGAGAGCCCTAGAAGTAGCTTCCACAGACCAGTGTCTTTAGTAGCTTTTTGTGTAAAAAGTCATAGATGACTAAATAGATGCACTTCTACATAAGCTGTTGGAAAACATTTGGGTCTGAATTTGAAGACAAAAGTTTTCTGTGTATGCACATAGACACTCTACACTGATAAAAAGTAGCTTTTTATGACAGGGATTCCAAGTGTCAACTGGTAGCTGCTAATACATCTCTTGACATTTAGATTTTCTATATTGAGATGTTGAGAAATAACGAGCAGAACGAGTGTGTGAGTTCTCCTGTATTTCCTGCCAGAATGAATGAGATCCTCTTGTGTTTGCCAGGAACACAAAGATCACTTAAAACACAAACTGGCAGATTTCCGATCTGCCTCTACCAAACATGCTGCGTTTCTCAATTTCATAAAAGTGCTTTTCTCCCTAACAGAAGACAGTGATGATAATCATAGCAATCAGTCCAAAATACAAACAGGATGTGGAAGGGGCTGAATCCCAGCTGGACAGGGATGAACACGGCTTACATACTAAATACATCCACAGGATGGTAAGCAAGGACATGCTTTTGCTGTTTTTACAAAGACTGTCTCTTCTTCTCAAAAGACAAATCTGTCTCCAAATGGCAGGTTCTTTGCTTTGTTTTCCCTAATCCCCATAGTTAAACACCCCTCTTTGGAATTCATTAATCCTTCCTCTCATCAGCTCCGTATACTCATTAACATCTGCTAAGAGGTTCAAGGAAGACAAATCCTATTAAACATGCTCCTCTTATTTCTTCATATTCTTTATTGTTCAATGTTTTTCCCCTCCTTCACCTTCTTGAGCCCTTGTATAGCCCTAAGCACAATCTTACCTAACAGTGCCTGACCTTCCTCCCTCTAAACCAGCCCCTGTTGCTTCAGCCATCCTGGGGTCTTTTCTTAGGCAGCAGTAAAGCTGACTGAAGGATGGAATTGCAGAGCAAGGGCCAGAGATGCAATGTGGGGCTCCTGGGGAGTGCATATTGCCAGAGGACCAGACACCCATCTCCACAGCCTGTCACAGGATGGACATTTATCCCAGAAGAGCCCACAGAGCCATGAAGCTGATCCATTCTCCCTTGGTTTGCAGTCTTGCAGTTTGGAGCCTTTCTCACACTGTAACCTATCTGATCCCCCAGTTTGAATCTGCAGTCAGGTTTCTCAGAAGCTGTCGCCAGCAGATGAGCTCTCAGCAGTACTCTGCTGTCTGTACCACCCCTGGGATGCCTGTGTCTAGGGCCATGGGGAGCAGGCTGGGCCCTAGCTCAGACACAGACCTGGCCTCTGGCTGAAATCTTTCACCAGTTTGTAGGCCAAACAGGGGTGTTGGTCAAGTCAGGCTTCACCAGTTCGAGATGGATTTCATGGGATTGCATCTGCAGCTAAACCCACAATTATTTCACACCATGAAACTAAATGTTCAAGAAATGGTGATGGATCTTTCCTGTATCCTTTCTGTAGCAATGAAGAATTAGCTGAAGTGGCCAAACCAAACAACACTGAGCCCACCAGCAGTAGATCAAATCATTTAAACAGAAGAGCAGTTTAAGTAAGCAAGGAATACTTTTATACATAGGGTTAAGATGCACGCAGAGAAAAATTGTCAAGTCATTACAATTAAACTGGCATTTTGTTCTATTCTAGATGCAGATTGAGTTTATACAGCAAGGAAGTATGAACTTCAGATTCATCCCTGTGCTTTTTCCGAATGCCAAAAAGGTAACATGCCTGCATGCTTATGTACTTGCCACATGATTAAGTGCGCATTATTTTGATCACAGTGCAGCAGATGGAATCTTAAAACCCAGACACTCAATTTCTTGGTTCTTAATAGCCCACAAGTAATATTCCAAAGCTTATAGGTTTATGTATTCCAAAGTTTATAGGTTTATGTACATGCAAATAAAAAACATTTCATCCACAATATAAATCAGTGTATAAATGTATTTCTCATGATGAATGTACAACTAAAACTCAAATTGCCTTGAGCACTGAAAGAATTTAAATGGAGAGAGGCAATCTATCCAGGAAGCATGCTTTTTATATTAACCCTTTTATAATTTTGTCCAAATGCAATGCTGATGAGTGACATGGGCAGGATTTATGACTGATGTGAAGAGAGGGTCTGGAAGAGGGTGTGTTGAGAATATAAAGAGTATAATATAAAAAGATAATAAATAAAAGTACTAGGCTGTTGCTTGAACTTTGACGGGCCCATCAAAGGCAAACAAAGATTTTTTAGGACTTGCCAGTTCATCTGCTCTCCTTACTTGTTTTGAAGATACATTTGAGAATAAGAAATAAGTAATGCAAAAGATTCCCATCTCTTCTACCTCACTGAGAGAATCTCTTGGATTTTTACCAAAAAAAAAATAATAAAAGGCTTCAGTTATAGCTTCCTCAATCTCCTGTGTTGTATTTATATTCACTGTTGGGTAGCTATCATGTTGCCCCTAGGTACAGCTGCATTTTAGAAAAGTGTGGAAAAATTCTTTATATTTCTTTGGGTGCCCAAATTTGGAACATGAGTCAAAATTTAAACAACGTTATCAATGGTTATAGAGCTGTGCAGTCTCATCGCACTTGTGGATTTTAGTGTAATGAAGTTCTTTATTTAAGTACCAATTTAAGATAGATGAAAAGATAAAAGAAATTTGAAAACATGTCCCTGGGTTTGTAAAATATGTGAGGTCCTGTGGGTTGAACAGTACTTCTGGTATTTCATGTCATTCAGACCCCTTCCTGGACGATCCCAGTCTGCTACTTACCTTGACTACGTACCTGGAAGACAGCAATGGTGGGAATTGGGCAGGCCAAAGGCAGGGAAGTAGTCAGTCTTTGGTGGGGGGAAAGGGCTCCTAACCTTGGGGCTACTTGAGTGCCCACCATGTGAACAGACCACACAGTCTAGAGCCACTTGGTACCTTAAGAGTTGCAGAGGTGTCCCATGAGGCACTATAGCTGCCTTGGGGCTCTGAGACAGAACAATATGTGAATTTCCAGGGTTGGTTTATCCAGCTGCCTCTATTAAAGTATCAGGCTCCAGACATCCTTCCTGCCTATCCTCTGTAGTCCCACATAACCCTTCAGTTTTTCAAGAGGTGCCTTTCTCATTAAATTATGCAGATCAGCATTTTCTACCTTAAAGCTGTTAAGCTCTAGTCTCTTTCTCCACATAATCCTTTGGTACATCACCTACCTTGACCTAGCTACTTAAAGAAAATGTAACTGAGGACACCATGGGTGGAAGGAGAGCACCAGAGCCTGAACAGGTTGCAGTAGTGAAGTCTGGAGGCAGTCAGAGGAAGTGAGGTACCTAAAAAACTGCCAAGTATATGTACAATTGGATGATGTTGGCAGGCAAATTACTTCAATTTTGTCTTTTTTATACTGCCCTTTATATGTTCAAGTATTAGCATAGCTGGCAGTGGAAAAGAGCAGAAAATGAAGATTTGGAGGTTTCATCTAGGGATGGGGCTATTAGATGAATTAATCTCATACACAGCACATCATGAAGCACTGCTGGTATGTGAAAATTAGTCAACCTCCAACAGGAAGAGATCTGTGTGATCCAAGGAGCATTCATTAGGAAACTGAATAATGAGGCAAGGAATGCACAAAACACAGTTAAGGTGGAATTGGCATTTCCAGCTTCCAGTCACACACTACTGAAGGAAACATGGGTCTTGCTGGTTCAAGGTTTGCATGGCAACAATCCACAGAAATGTGTCCTCCTCACCTGGCCACCTGATGACCAATGCATTAAGCCAAGATTGCCCCATGCTAGAGGCTCCCTCTGGAAGCAGCCAAGGGATGAGATGAACAGGGCTGGTGCCAGGGAAGGCAGGAGATGCCAAACCATGCTCTGCTGTCACAGCCCTGAACAGTCCTGTCCTCTGCAGTAATACACTTGCCCTCTTGCTGCCAGTTTGAACTGCGGAGTTATCGGATACTCTCCCTATGGCATAGAGAGAGTTTCCTCTCAGCTCACAGACAGACAAATTTTAAAAATGTAAAGGACAGTAACCATTTTCCCATTACTCCCACCTGCAATGACAGATGCTGTTGCATGGCAAGGAAAAGTCCCTTTCTCACTCTGGATAGAAACAGGAGTTACAGCTATCCTTTACCTCTACACACCTCCTTCAAATTAAAACTATTGCCAGAACTGATTCATGTGCAGGTGCTTTTTCACTGATTTCATTATGGAGGGTATTAAACAAAGCTGCACGAGCAGTTTTGGAAGCAAGGCACGGAGCTTGTGGATGTATAGTGCCTCTCTCATTATATCCCTACTTCCTGATTTCTTCCCTACTACACATTTCTCACACTAATTTCCATCTTAACTAATGATTTACCCATGTGGACTTCTATTAAATGCATTTCTGAAGTCCAGACTGACTATACCTACTGTATTTCCTTTGTCCAAAAAATGTAGTTTCTTATCAAAGGCAGAGAAAGAGCTCATTTGGTAAAACCCCCGCTGTATTTAATTGCATTTCCTTCTGTAGCTTTTAACAAGATTTAGTAAAGAAGCAAGTTCCATGTAACAATGGTATGCATGTGCATGCAAACATAGTCATCTTTCTCCCTCAAACATTTGAGTCTCTTGGCCAATTCCAAAGAGTTTTGTCAAAGGAGAGAAATTCATGAAGATTAAAATCCATTCCTATGCCAAAATAAAAAGACTAGCAGGTGGTGGCAAGAAGCCTTATTTTTGCTCCTGCCAAAGGGAATGCTCTGGGATCTTACCCTTGTGCAGTGAGGTGTCCATCTGGAAGAACAACCCTCCACTCTAGAGAGACCACTGACCACAGACTATCCTTTCTCAGCCACTGGAGAAAGATCAGGCTTGATAGATACCTCTGCCAGTCACAAAGCTGCTTGTTCAGAAGCATAGGTGAGTTTATAGTAATGGGTCTGTAGGTGCCTGTGTGACTTACCTCCTTCTTCCTACACATAAATCCTCTAGCTCTAACAGAGTGGTTGCATCAATTAACACAAACTGCTCCCTGAGCAGGGAAAGCGATGCTGCCTTGTTCCTCCAGCTGTACAGGCCAAGGAAAATACAGCCAATTTGAGAAGTATGATCATGGGAATGAAAGGTTTGGAATGCAGCTAGGCTGTTTGCTGGCAGCAGGACATGTGCAGCCCATGCCAGGGCATCCCCTGGCAAGGTGCCAGCGATGTGCATGCCAGTAGCTTTTTGCTCTGTCCTCTTGGAGCTAGTTCCACTAGCTTGACAGGAACTGTCTAACAGGGGCTATCCTGGGAAAACACTGCTAAATAAGAGGTCCAGAGACCAAGTGCTGGATGTCCTGGCTCCTCATGTTGCTTAACCTGCTCATTTTGGCTACGTTCTGGTGTCTCCGATTCCAAAACAAATCTCTGTCTCATGGTAACCATAAACTGGTTTTGATCAAGGATCTGTCCCTCTGTTAATTAGTGGTATTATAATAGCCCTTCACCCCTATACATCCAAGCTGTCCATATGGAAGTCTCCCAAGGCTGTGGGAACATGGGAACATGAGGTCTGAGCAGACTTGTCTCCATCAGCCAGCTGTCACTCTCCAGTGCCATGGTGGTCCCGGCTTCATTATGTTACTGGACATTAGCCAACCCCTGTGAAGGACTGCACCTTTTCCAGGATGTGGGGATTGGTGGAGGTTTGACCCTGCTAATCTGGAGATGCCATAGTCTTTCCTCAAGCTCAGCATCAGCCTCAGCCTTCTGCTCAGTTGGTCAGAGCACAGAATGCTTAGCGAAGAAAGGTGCAAGGGGAGGGGAGAGGGCTACCAGCATGTGAAATGTTCCTGTGGGGTTCCAGTCTTTCCCTACCAATCCTCATCCCAATGTTGAACATATTGTATGGATCCTCTAGTAGCTACTAAGGTGGCACTGAAGATTTCCCCGCTAGGGGCACTGAATTCTCTTCTCTTCTCTTCTCTTCTCTTCTCTTCTCTTCTCTTCTCTTCTCTTCTCTTCTCTTCTCTTCTCTTCTCTTCTCTTCTCTTCTCTTCTCTTCTCTTCTCTTCTCTTCTCTTCTCTTCTCTTCTCTTCTCTTCTCTTCTCTTCTCTTCTCTTCTCTTCTCTTCTCTTCTCTTCTCCTCTTCTCTTCTCTTCTCCGAACCTCTCCTCTCCGAACCTCTCCTCCCCTTCTCTTCTTCTCCTCTTCTTTTTCTGTTTTCACAAGCTTTTCAATGCCTGTCATTGACATCAGACTTCCTTTGAAACATGGTGAAATTAGCCAATGTGATGGCAGAAGAGAAAGAGAGACAGGCAAGCTGTGAGATCACACAAAGTTCATTTATTTAGGAACCCAAATACAATTCTGAAGCCAAATTAACATTTCTTCTTTTTACAGGAAGTGCCTAGAACAAAATGAAATCTTCCTTGGCAGGGTCTGACAGAATCTGAAAGGTTCTTGTAGGGATTCAGAAGGATTTATGGGATTTAGCTTTTGTTTTGTTTGTTTTTTCTCAGGAACACGTGCCTACCTGGCTGCAGAACACTCACATTTATAACTGGCCAAAGAATAAGAAGAACATTCTTTTGCGGTTACTGCGTGAGGAGGAATACGTTGCTCCTCCAATAGGACCTTTACCAACACTCCAGGTTGTGCCGCTATGAACATTATAACTTAAAGCACATGACGAGTGGTTGTTAAAGGGTTGTTCCTGGCAGGGAGCCAGCACTCTTCCAGATGGCTCTTTTTGATGACAGAAGACGCTCTTTCTGCTAAAGAAGTTGGTTGTCTTGGGTTACTCAGGCTCAGCTTGTTCTCTACCATGTTAAACATCTATTTCCAAAGCTGATGGAACAGAACTCTCTTCTCTAGATTTTCAAATAAGCTACAAATGGAAAGAATGCCCACTTCTATTTTAACATCTGGTTTTAACATATTCCTTTTATTAGTTATTATAGCAAACAAATACCAGAAATAATGTTGCAGTAAGTATAATATAAAAATTACATCCTCCTTTTTGCTCAGGGTTTCCTTAAAGATATTCCTGCTTTGTATAGCATTATTGAACCATTAATTTGTATATACACTATTAAATATATTTGCCTTTTGTAAGGCAATCTTATATACCGTGTCCACTTTTATTATTGCTGGGGACAACAGAGAAACGGGTTGGTTAAGGCAGGTTTTCCTTAGTCTTGCATAAAGAGACTTGTCTTCAATTAGAGGACTATCAGATCTGAAATCTCTGGAGTTCCCTTTCCTTACAGCTTGGTCCCTCACACCTCCAGCGTGTTGCAGCAATAGTCCCCAAAAGGAAAGCTGAATGCATCACTACGTGTGTGCTGTCAGTGCCATGGAACACTGCAGTATTTTTTATGGCAGGCCTTTAGCTTCACTACTGCTCTTCAGGCCTTATTTAAAACAGAGCATGTCAAAGGACAATTGGCATTTGTAAAGCCAGCAATTGTTAAGAGAAAGAACATTGACTCCTACAACTTGCAGTATGCAGTATGGAACAATAAAATAATCAAAGATGGAGAGCCACAGGGTGCTGGCCACCAGGATGGCTCAACAACATCACGTCTGCTAAAATTACAGACCACATAAGCATGACTTGGGTGAGGATTTTTTGGTTTTTACCAGCCTTAACCTTACTGAGGTAACAGTGAACGCTATTGGCTTAAAATTCTGCAGCCCTTATTCTTTAGAGCAGTAGTACAAAGATCCTCCTCAGCTCTAATATTTGTCATAAAAGGACCCAAACACAGCTTTATAAAAAAGTACATGTGATTGCAAGCCTGGAAAGAAAATTAGCCCAGAAGTACTCCTCGTACAGTATCCAAATTATTTAATTAGCTTTCCATGGAGGTGGTGCCAGCATGATGTGTTGATGCAGCACATGCTTTGTGGTGCTCATGGAGAAAAAAATTAAAACTCAGATTTTCCTTTAGCAGACTTTTGCACAAATAGTTGCAGCCATTTAAGAGAAGCGTGTATTCAGTGTTGTCAACTCCTGTGATTTTGATTGTGGTATTTGCTGTGCTTCTTGCAACTCCAGTTTCAAAAGAGAAGCTCAGCAACTGAAACAGGCTAATAGCTGACATGCCAGCAGCTTCCCGAGAAGGCACAATAAAACCGTGTTAGGCACTGGTACTTCTTGGCACCTACTTACATGTGGGGAAGGGAGGTCTGTTTTTCATGGGATAAATTTTCAATTAAAAAAATAACTTTCTAGTATGTGGTGACAGCCTAAAATCATGACAGAAATCTATCTTAAATGGTCAACAAAGACAAAAGGAGTGGGATGTGGGTCAACATTTGGGGTCACCTGGAGTGCACTACAACATCGAGCTCAGCCTCTAGGTTGAGCAAATCTGAAATGCTGTGGCATTTTCTGCCAGCTCAGTATGGCTGCCTCTGTTACTTTAAGGTATCTGAAGTGTTTTAACACTGTGAAATAGTCTGTCTCAAATGGCTTCTGAGCCTCCAAGCCAATTTCTGCCACATTTAATAGGGAGAGCTCAAAGATATTGAGTGCCTGTGAGTTTCATGGAAAGAATTACCCAAAGAGCAGCCCCCAAACCCACATGCTGGTCTCTTCCCAGGGGTGAACAGCTGTCCACCCTGGCCCTGGCAGGGTCTGGGAGGCCTTCTGCGATACACAGCCTCCACAAGTCTGGAGGAGAGAAGCATGCAGGGAATGAGGCTGTGTCAGTTTTGCTGCTTGTAAAGCAGCATATTAGGGAGTGCAGTTAAGCATTCAAAATGATTAGTGAGGCTGGGTTGTAAATTCCTTTCATCATTTTGGCTGTCATCCGAAAATATGTGCTCTAGATTTGCCACAGATTTGCTTGGTTTGGGCCAGGGAATTTCATTAAGTAACTCCTGCATCATGTGATGCACAAGGTTGCATTAAATGGTCCCGTGATTATTTCTATTCTGTTTGAACGATCCTTTTCTGCAAAACAATACTAGCAGAGTGAGGAAATAAAACTAAGCTTTGCTGTCTGAGAAGTTATAAGAGCCCAATCTATTTAAGTGCCGGAGCCTTTTCTCTTTCCCTTTATTTTTTGGGGTTTTTTTTGGTTTGTTAATCGAATAACAATTCCTAGGATTCATTGATCTTTACATTAGTTAGAGCATGCTACAAGGACAGAAACCATCATGGGGAGAGTGTGAGTAATGAGCTAGCAGCCTAGTGAATCATTTCCCCTAAAGCTTTGTATTTGTAGAGAGACAGATGGTGGGAGCTGTGAAGAGGGAGAGGCAGGAGAAAAGCTGGTTTTTGCAAACAGCAGAAGTATAGAGGACGGTGAGAAAAGAAAAAAAATTAAAAAAAATCAGCAGGTAAGGGAGAAGAAGAGGCTGAGAATACACCAGCTGTTTCAAAACTAATGCATTAATGTTAAAATGGATTAAGGTTAAGGGAAAATACACAAAGGAAATTGCAGAATACAAGAGCTTTGTGGCTGAAAGAGGGAAAATTTACCAAGAGCAGCCCTAAACATGTATTTGTAGATGAACTCTTGAGTCAGTTATTAACTTTATGTGCAAATAACAGAGAAGTAGCTGAAAGTATGCAAGACTCCATCCTGCAGGCTGGCAGTGCTGCTGCCCAGCTGGAGCTGCCAAGCTGCAGGTACCCACAGAGGCAAAAGGCATCTCTTGGATGGTGACAGCACCAGGGGTTTGTCTCACAGCACCTGTACATTTGCAAGGGGTGTGTGGGAGAGGAAATCCATTGTCCCTAACATGGAAAGTAAGCAAGGCAAGAGAGTTACATATTTAACACTGGGATGAGTGCTGCATTAAGGTAGAAAAAGAGGATTTAGAGACAGCCTGCTTTGAAGGCTTGCCAAAACTCAGATGACATTAATGCATGTAAAGATTTTTTTATGCAAGTCACCTCTGTGACAAAAATAGGGTTGCAAAATTTTATCCCACAGTTAAGTTAGATTGGCCTCTCCAGAGAGGGGTGTGTAGGGTGATTCAAGTACAAAGTTAATTTAATAAAGCCTTGTATACAGAACAAGAAATGCTACCCTAAGAGCTCAATTGCCCCTGGTAGGGTCTTAGCTGTCATCATTTGGTGCCATTTAAGAAAATAAAGCAGCAGCCTTCCCTGCAGCCCCTCCAGGACCAGCAGTAAGGCAGATAATGAAACTGGTTCATTAAAATAGCTCCACCAAAGGGTGCCTTGCTGAGAGCCTTTCCCTCATCTCCAGCCTCTGACCAGGCTGCAGGTAACAGAGACACGGGTATCACAGTAACAGCATCAGTCTGGGCAGAGAACTTGAGCAGTGTGGTCAGGAGGCTCCGCAATGAGATCAGAAAAGGAGCAATTCCCACCATTTAGGATGTTTCTGGGTTGTCAGATGGAGGTGCTGGTAAAGCTGATAGAGACCCCTCATCTTAAAAGGGAAGGGGATGTGGGAGGGAAGAATTTTGAGCTCTGTGGCCTTACAGTGCAAGAGGTCTACTGTGGTAATGAAGTAAAACATGTCTCAGGGAGTTCCCTCACCCTCAGTGTGCAGAACAGGTACACATTATCTTCCAAAGCAAACATCTCTCGTTACACTTTGGCTTTAATTTAACAGGTTCCTCCATGCCCACATCTGTAGCAGTCTGCTATTGTTTAACCTGTGTTTGGGAAACAGATCTGCCTGGAAGGTCACAGCTTTCATCAGCCTTCTCCTCCATCATCCTTTATCAGGATGTTGCTGCAGGGAAGCACTGCCACAGCACCCAGTTTACAATACTGATGGGCTGGCACTGCTCCCTCTCCCCAGAACCCCTAATATGGGTCTTTTGCAGAAGTTCCAGGCTGGCACACAGCACATTGGTATCATTACACATCTCCAGAGTGTCACTTCTCCTTGAGCAGTGCCAGTGGATGCTCATGCAGTCCCTTCAGCCAGCATGAACCACACTGACACATGAACATCTCACAAAAGCCACTTGCAAAACCCTCTCTGAGACATCAGACACACCTCTCCCACCTGCATATTACAACCAGTGCAGGAAGAGAAATGCCTGTATTTGTGTGGTATTTGTATTATAAGTTATTGCTCACAGCAAGAGGCATTCTCTGGGCTGCAGGAGAAGGACATCTGAGTAAGCAGAGGTTCTACTGCCATGGCAGAGAGGCACTGCATGCTGCTGCCCACACAGGCAAAGCCAAACCAGGCCCTGAGATGCCAGACCACAGAAGAAGGCAGCAGAGTAGCAGCCTGTCCAAGCCACCTCCAAATTAGGCCAAGAATAAGATGGAATTGGTTAGCCCCACTCCAGCCTTCATCGGCTTGGAGCCCAGCCTCAGCCTGATCATGGAACAGTGCACAGACCACCAGCTGTGTGTCCCTGTCTGTGGCCAAGATCACTTGTAAACAAACAAAAAGCCATCTAAAGCTAAGTTTCCCAGCCTGACTAGATCTGCCAGCTAGGCTACATTTCAAGAGCTGATGTAGATTGGACCAAACAAATGTAGACATACAAATGCACACAGACACACATACTCCCCACAGCGTGGCTCTGAGCACTGCATGCCACTGCACAGATCCATGCAAACTGCAAGAAATGTCACCAAAAGCAAAGGCAGGGTTTTAAAAAAACAATTTCTTTATTGAAAATTATCAGGGAGTTCTCCAGTTTCCAGAGGGTGAGGGGCAAGTGCCTGCTTGCCCACCTAACCCTCAGGTAAGGGGAGTTTCACAGCAACCTCTGCAGACACCAAGTCCTTGGGGCTAATGGACAGATCCAGGGAATCTCAGGTGAGACCTGGGTGAACCCAGTGGATGTAAATCCCTGCAGGACTGGCTTTTGTGGAAGGGGGACCTGCCAAGGAGTAGGAAACTTCCCAGGACCTACTTTGACTGTTGGAAAGATGAAGGCCTCTCTGTCTGACTTGTACCACTCTTCAAAGAATGGGAAAATGCACACTGTTGGAAAGCTCCAGAAAAACTCCTAAGTGTGGGTTTTCTTGGGATGCAGAAGAAGGTACTGTAATGGCAGACACTGGACAAACATCCCACGCTCCCCCTCAAACTACTAGAATAGTTAATAACTGAAATTGATTTTTAAAAAAATCACAACTAGCACTACCTGCAGTGAACTCATTCTAGC